ATCAAAGTTGGAAAATGTGTAATGAAGAATTGTGAAGTGAGTTTAAAAAAAATATAATTTTGATCTTTCTTTTGATGATATGTAATACAATGTTTAATTTTTCAAAAATCTACTTTGGTGTTGATTTTGTTGAAGGAAAAATATTTCATTGATATGTGTTGACATTTGTGAAAATGTGAAAATTTATTTTGTACAAATGCATACTCAGTCAAAGACAGACATTAATATGTAATTATAGCATAGAAAATTAGTTGATTGAATAAATTTTATTACTTAGATGAGATCAAAACCAAATGTTATTGATTCTTTTTAACAATCAACATTATTTATACATTGCAGCAAATCAAATGATGGATAAAATGCAAAAACATATTCAAATCATGTATCACAGTATATTCTTATAAGAAGATAATTGAGCTAATCAAAATAAACAAAAAAATTTATTCCAACTTAATCTACTGGCTAACATTATAATTTTGGAAAATTTTAGTATATTTATTGCTAATTTCAGATTTTGCATAAGAATCACAAAATATTTTGTTATCTTCACATATAATTGTGTTATCTTCACATATGATTATACTTTGTCAAGATTTAACAACAGCTTAGTTCTAATTCACTGAGGGAGATCTATAGTAAGTTTACTTTTAGTATTTATAAAAAAAAAATTATCATATATAGAGGTTACAAATTACTCAAAGTGGAGATGGTTATCACTTATTTAAAGTATTACTAAGAAGACTGTCATTCTTGTCAATTAGACTGCGATTTGTCTATTTATTACATTAGAAAATTATTTCCACCTCAGAGAAATATAATTTGATGTTTGAAGTAAAATATTGGTATCACCTTGTACTAAAACTGCGCAGAAATGAATTTTACAATTCTACATCGTTATGTCTATGAAAAATTTATATTTTTCTCAAATTTAACTCTATAGTTCAAAAATTTTCATTTATGATTTCATGAGCATTCATGGTACATAGGTAAACAAAATTATATGAAGATGACACAAATGTTTTGATAATGAAAAACACTTTTTAACTTTTTTTACCACTATTTAAAAACTACATAAGTGCAATATTTTTGTACCATTTAAATGATTTTCATAAATTGATGATATGCTGAATAATACTATGAACTCATTGACAAATAGTTCAAGTGATTATCAAACTATAATAACAGATAAATATCAAAATGGAGCATAATGGTAAAGATCCCGAGTACAAAATCAACACCAGAGATTCAAATACTGTCACAAATTAACATTCTATTGACGAGTCTTATTTCTCAAGCACATGTCACTACCAAAAGCATCTGCAATTGCTAGGCCGAAGTTGACACAAATGCAAGGTGTAATCACATCAAAATCCTAAAATTCATACAATAGACACCACAGAAATCGCAAACGACTATGCAATTAATATTAGGGGGAAACTTCCTAAGATTACACATTGAACCGGCTGCACCGAGCACCCAATCTACAAGTTTGCTTAAATCTTGAGCTACACTAAGCATCACTCAAATTATATTCTCTACTTCAGATGCAATATATTTGACAAACTGAAGCAACTCGCGCATTGTGACAAGACGCATAACTCAAAACGTGCGGAGGTTTGTTGACTTAAGACTGAAAATTGACTCATGAAAAAGCCCCCAAAGGCAAAGCCTTCAGTCTTTTTATTCACACCGAACACCCAGCCCAAGCTCCAAGCCCCCATTAGGTGCAACGTACGCATATGTGGCAGTTGCCACACCCTTAGAGCTGCTCCCTACTCCTATACTACTCAAAATTGCTGCGGGCTTTAACTCCAAATTCTCCTTAGTCTATCCTAAATCGGAAATGAAAGAACTGATCATTCTATCTAACTACCGATGTCACGTTGGATCTCAATTCCTTCAATCGACGCTCTAGCGAATCCAATTTTGTCCATTTCGTGGTCTGAATCTTCTAATTCACATAAACTTGAAGACATTGCTCTACTCTAGCGCGCAAACCACCATACGTTTCATGTTAGAGATGTTGGACAGTCGCACCTATCTCCATCAATTTCACATGAGCCGCGACCAACTGCTCCTCAACTGCCGACAACTGAGATCGCAATCTGTAGCAATCTGCGTTCAACTTCTTTTCACCCTCTAACTCTGAAGTTCGGGCAGCTTTGCAATCAGCTAATTGCTTCATCCAGCGAGCCAATTTGGCAGCCTCTGATCGATACCGTGGCGTCATATTCATTGTCAGCTCCTCCACGCGACAAGTTTTACTCTCAAATCCCGCTCGATACAATTTTAATCTGTCCCGAAGGTCTACCGTCACCTTCTACGGATTGCAAATGTCAACCTGAAGGCTCTTTATAACACTAGTGTTTATAGAGAAGCTCACTCGAAGATAGAAACGTAAACTCTGAAGATGAGAGATACCAACAATGGTTCTCCTCTTCCTTATATAACTCTCACCAACAAGTACAAGGTGATAAGATCTAATCCCCACCATCCATCCCACTCCTAGTGGATGGATGACGTGACGAATAACCCTAACAAGCACACGGATCGCTGACGTGACGCACACAACTAACACACTCAATCCTTACCTACAAGCACACGGATTGCTGACGTGGCAATGTCAACTAACACATCCACTCTGTACCTATCAAGTGCGCGGATCGCTGACGTGGCAGCTATGACTAGTGCACACTAAAGTATCTACATCAATATTTAGAGTAATCTCTACTTTAGTTCTAACTAACTAAAGATGGTTACACTCTTGCACTCTAGCTTCTTCTGCGTACGAAGGCTCTTCTCAACCTCTAGCTTCCGCAAAAGTTCTTCACACTCCAACTCCTTCGCCCGAAGATGACTTTTACCGCTCCTGTAAAGTAATTATCATGATCGCACACTCAAAAATCAAGCTTGCAACTCGTTTTGTTACCTCAGCAGTTGCTACCACCTTCGCCTTCGTCCTTCTATGCACTAACTCTAGATAAGATCCTTGTGCAGACCGAGTACTTCCCCATTGTACCATCTAATTATTTGACTAATGGAACTAACCTATCATTCAAAAGATCAATTAAACTAAACTCGGCCATCTTTGACTCGTCGGCCGAAGTTACTTCACCGAAGTCAAACTCGACTGTAACCGAAAACATCTAACACGGAAGCATCGTCGTTTGCTCCGCGACAAGCTTCTCCACTTCTGCCATCATTTGCTCCAAAGGTTCTTCGTCCGAAACTGGCTCCACCGCATGCTCCTCCAACTCTACACCCACGTCCGAAGATGTCTTGCCCAAATGCCGAAGATCTTCGATAGAAGACACTGATGGTTGATACGAAGGCCTTAGGAGTTGAGCCAAAGTCTACATCTGGGTCTCACTTGTATAAAGGTGTAGCTCCAAAATTGATTTTTTTTTTTTTTTCGATTCGTTTCGTTGGTGCTTATTCTTTAATAGCACCAAAGAATATCTCTTTCTTCGCCTTCCACCAAAGGCCCATCCATAGTCACATCCGAAGGAAGGTCATTCGTCTTCCGTTTCTACTTCATGCGCGTCCATTTCAGCTCAATCTTCCGAAGTCAGTTGATGTTGCGAAGTTGCTTCACTACACTCCATATTGTTCATTTCTTCCTTTTGTCGAGGTCGTGCATTCACTTTACTACGGGAATGCGTACTTGTCGTATTCATCTACATGGCAACTGGCCTCCGGGTTCGCAATCTGATATGTCGACCAAAAACTTCCGAAGCCAAAGGCGTCAGCAATTTACTTCGCCTCTTTGCAGGTCGTTCCTCAATGTCATCCTCGGACATGTGAACTTTGGCCGAAAGTAGTGCAGGTTCAACGTCATCATTATCAATGACAACTTCGTTACCTTCCAGAACTCCTTTGTTATCTGATCCCGCAATCTCTTCCTCTGTTAACAATCTCATATGTCGATAGAAATCAATAAAGAACGGGAACAGGTAATTCATCGATACTCCAAACATATCTTTGACATTGTTGTGGTTGGTACTTCACAAGATGCGAGCCTAGTGAATTGACTTTCCTCGTCACTGCGGTTCACAAATCCTACTTGCCATGTTGCCATGTACGTCGTTTGTGAAGATCGCAAACGACATCAGTGCCACCGCCACATTTAGCCTCAGCGGGTCGCGGTAATCTGTCATCCGCCATCCGTTCTTTGTCGAGCAAGGTGTCTTGAACCACTTCGCAAATGTCTTCTCCTCATACTATGTCACCTTCATGCTTTGACTGTTATATATGTAATCGTCTGCTTTACCTGCACGCGGCCCCAAGACTTGAGTCCATTATTCAATCGTCTAACTCTCAGGGTTGCCACAAATTTTATTGCCTTCTGGCACGCGTCCATCATGCCACTCCTTCACAATCGCCGCGAAAACCTAATTCCAACCCCAAAGCAAGATATTGAGCTTGGCAACTATTAGCTAATCATGATACACTCTCAATTTCAACTCCGGCACTTCCAATGCTTTCAATCAAAGTGCTAAAGCTCGCTACATTGCTACACTCTCAATTTTTCACTCGCGATACTTGCTAAATTTCCAATTCGAAAATGCACTCTTCCGAAAGGGTCCCTTCGTCTACGCCTTATCATGTCAACCACTCTTGTACTCATAACTTGTATCTTCTCATCCATTTTAGGAGTTATTGGGCTCGTTAGAACGAGCATGCCTAGCTCTATCTAACAAAATATTGCCTAAATCAAGTTACCACTAACTGACAAAGTTATGAATCATCTACTCTAGTAGATCATAATTCTTTAATTTTATTTTATTGCCTGCAAGTAATAACACTTACTCCAACAGAGAAGTATCTAATATATATTCTAATTTTTACTAACTTGTCATCTGTTACAAAATCCTCTATTTAATCTACTGTAATTATTCTCATCTTAAAAGTATAGATTTCTATTCATCTCTTCCTTAAATTTCATCTTCTCAAAAAAAAATGAAAATTTACATATCACACAAACATTCGGTTTATTCTCGTAATATTACGGATAATTTAGTATATTTCAAATTGAAATCATCCATCTCCAGTTACAACAAAAACTGACCAAAGAGTTACACTCCTACGTCGGGCAATAAAGAGACGTTTGTAGGGTAGGTGGCATTCGTTTTGCTACTCACGTCTCGTCAACCAATCGGCCCTCTTTATGTCGAGTCTTCTTGCTCCATGGCAAGTTCAATTCTCATGCAGATATAGCTTCTTCCTAAAAATATTCAGGCTTGCAAAGCGAGATTTATCCTACTACTCTTTTCCTCCCTAATCTACCGTCAGAGGAACCGCAGCTAACACATAAAGAGCGGGCGCTATTCGTTCTAATAAGAACGTATTCATATTTGGCCAACAACGACCGAATGTGGCTTCTCTGATTTGAAAAAACGAACAAAATAGCTCTGACTGGCGAACTGTGGTCCCACAGGAAAAGCATCCAGAGGGAGGAGTAGAAGTGAGGTGGCCGAGGTAAATAAAAGAGACCAAGTGGGAACAAAAGGAAAGAGTAATGTGTTGGTGTAATGCTATTCGCCGTCCACAGAGACGTCAAGAATATCGAACAACGATACCGGAAGACCCAAGCGGAAGTGCCAAGGCTACAGGCGCCGATAATGCTAGTTTCCGAGGGAGGAAAGTGGCACTGAAAGTGCCCATACTGAAGGCCAAATGAATCTTCTGGAAAGAAAATCCTCAGGTGAAACGGTGAGGTACCTCCTAACAAAAATCTCAAGGAAATTGAAGTCGAGAAAGCAGTAAGATTACCCATGTTGCTACCTGATGGAAAAACTGGTTGCTGACCCGAATCTTGTTCGTTGTTCAAAATGGACCAACATACGACATATTCATAGGCCAATGTGACAATATAACACTGCGTGTGGAAATAGATCAAGAGCTCTATCCCGTCAATAACACTTTTTTAAGCTAAAGTGCCTGCCATAGGTCTTAATAAGCTAATCACCATCGGTAAATCCTCAAACATCCTTATGTTCTCCCACTAATAACGGACTTGAACTGGTGGCTCTCCTTCCGGTATCTGCATCAGGATGCAACAACTTCGAATTATGATCTAGCCCTTTCTGTGAAAGTGAAAATGAACTCATGAAGGAACTTGAAACAGAAACTTTTTCAGAAGTTTGCAGAAGAGCGTCAACACTACCTCTCCAATTTTCCAGACGTCCTTAAACCATTTGGCGTCTTCATCAGCATTTGTAGAACGAACTGGAACTGGAACTGTTGATGTATTCACTCTGAAATAAAGAGAGGGCATGAGGTTTAAGAGAATCCTGGACATATAGATGAAACTGGTAATAATTGCGGATCAGCATTCCACATTCACTATGACACTCGAGCATAGCTGACTCAATATCTATGGGACCCCATCTTGCTGTCTTGAAGAGAACTGGAAGTTCCTATTTCCTACAAGGCCCTCTCGTTCTTAACTAACGGAAGACTTCACTTTTCAAAATCTGTGTGATGGATAAGTTAGAATACGCTAATAAAAAATCACAGAGAACCTTACATTGTTCGGGTTAAACAATGACTCAGAAACTTGAGAAGGTCATCCACATCCTTCCTACAGACTCGAAGATCAAATGTGTTCAATACTGTGAGAGAGAGAGCATTACAATGAGGGTGCAGGTGTTGCACTCAGTGATGGACTATTTCCTGGAGGACTTGCAAAGCCTCTTGTAGATCCTGGATTGGAGGGGAATCCTGTAAATGGTGAGTTGAACCCAAAAGGTGACTGAACTCCACTTGAACCTGCTGTAACAACACAAAAACACCAGAAAAGACGAGACGTCATGCTTTGGTGTTAGTTATGGCATATATAACTTTGCGTGCAAGTCAAGGTACACAAAACCTCACGGCTCAGTGTACTACTTATTGTGGCCTTGTTTGACTCAAATACTTTTGTACTTGAGTCCAACAAGGCCACAATTTCAGAAGTACGATTGGGAGATATATTTGTCTAAACGGTCTGGAAGGGTTGCACTCGAACATGAATTACCAAGTCCAACTTCGAGTAACCTTTTGAATGCTGCCTCATAAATATTAAGTAAATCTAATGCAGGTTGCTTACCTTGTACGTTGGTAAACGGACTTTGCGTTTGCGCAGCTGGCTGAGCAACCGCGGGTGGAGAGGCGGTGTTCGTGAATGGACTCTGCTGGAATGGAGTCTGTTGAAATACATTTGGCTGCTGCACGCCGAAAGGACTTGGGTTTTGAGTGGATGGACGAGGTCCGAAAATGGTATCTCCGCTGCCGACACTGATGACGATACATGGGCATCGCGTTGTCAGTTGAAAATATTACTTTTCACCATGCTTCTAGGAAGAAGGGAAACGAGATTCGACTGAAACTCAAGATTACCTTGGCTGGCCAAAACTGAAACCTCTCGCTGCCGGGGCTCCAAAAATATTAGGATTCTGTGCGAACCCTTGACCTGCTGCTGGGTTGGGATTGGACAACGTTAAGGGTTGTCCAGAAACCATGGCAGAGCTGTTGTTTTGTGAAGCTGGAGAACTCATAAAGGGAGACGCGGAAAAGGGCGAAAAAGGTGTGGCAGACCCTTGAGAAGCGGGACCCTTGTAAGGATTCCTCCGTAGAGCTTCAAACTCAGCATTCTTTGCAGCGAACATCGATGCTTCCCTTTGTGCCTGGCCATTTCGTATTGTCAATTTTCATGGAGTGAGCTTCTATCCAAATGTCAGTCCTTGTTCAAATCTGTGATGTTCAAACTTGTAGATATCAACCGAGTCTGCCAAAACACCCTCCATGTATTCTGCACACAGTCAGGTTTCTAGTTCAACAGATGGTACTAGATTTCTAAAAGAAGAGATTTTCCCACAAGCATGACACAAGACCGTCACGATAATCTGCTTCAGCGAAATTTCAAACAGCTCCAATCTACCGAGCACATCTCTTGTTCAAATTGAGAGAATACAGCTTCCGGAAGGCGAAGATACATGGACATTCTTTCTGAAAGAGAGATTTTTCAGAACTTTGATTTGTTAGAATTAACAATTACCACATCTTTGAGCGAAAGACCCTGCTTTGCGCTGTCGTATGCAATGGCTCGGAGCTCCTCAGGGCTCACATCTCCTACGATGTCATTGGGCAGGCTGCGAAGATAACCAGCCCACTTATATTTGAACTCAAAACATAATACGCATGGCAAATGGCAGCAATTTTCTTACATCTTCCTTGAGCTTGTAATCGAGAGGATTATCTTAATTTCACAGCTATTAATAAAACGGACGATCTAGTTGCAGTATGTTCTTCAATAAAGTGCTCATTCTCTGGTAGACACGTATGCAGGATGTTGGCCTTCATAGCAGAAGCCAATAATTTTTGGCGACAAAATGTTTGAATGAGGAACTTGGGGGTTACATACAATTTGTAGTGTGCATAGCAAGTCAACCGCCAGAAGACAGGATGCTCGTTTTGAAAGTCCTCTTCGATTTGATCTTTGCATAAGCGTGGATTGTTACATCTATGACATCCAGGAAACAAATGTCGATCGTCAGCCATTGTGAACGGTACTCATTCTGTCTTTCGAGATAGCGTCTTTCGACATTTCAAAATCCAAGTTTGAGGGGCACAACAGACTTCCCATCAACAACAACTTATGCGAACGAATCATCGAATCGGCAGAAAGTGACTCACTTGTGCTCTTTAGCTGCCACTGAACTCTGAGTGTTGTGCCTTTGAGAGTGATTATTGTTGTTGTTGTTGTTGTTGTTTCCCAGGGCTCCATAGTAATTGTTCCCCGCAGCACCCCCAAATGCATTCTGTTCCAAGTCGCATGCATTCCACCTCATGAAATTATTATTTCCTCAAGAGAAACTGCACTTTTCCGCACGAAGAAGCAATTTGGGCTTCCTCATACTCAGAATGAGAGACGAACAGTACAAAAGATTGCCACATGTCACCAAATTTAAAAGCGTATCAATTACCCTTTGATTCTGATTATTTTGCGGTTGTCTCGGCTGCTGCGGAGCGTTGGTTTGATGCAGAAATTTGCAACGAGTGCCATATCGACAACTGCACAAGGAACTGTCTTCAGTGCAACCCTTGGAAAGCGCTAAAGGACTGTCATGTTCCGCGTTTGAGCTACTCGTGACTGGGAAAACTAAGATTGAGATATCCCCAGCTATGCCAACATGCAAAGCAACCCATTCAATTCAACGAAAATCATCGTTAAGAGTACAGTACTGTGGGACTGGATATTCGTCAGCAAGGAGGGCGTGATTCCAGAACATAGACGCAAATCGAATCACTAGTCATGAGAACAGAGAATAGTAGAATTAGGCTGTCGTACACCTAACTTACCTGCCTCGCTGAAAATCACGACAAATCTCCTGACGCCTACTCATGGCTAGCTACCGCACCACCTCCTTCAGCATCTGCAACCAAAATGAGATTTGCGTCGGAACCTCGCACCACCATCGCTAGTGAGAAAAGAAAGGCCCTGCATTCCGCCCGCGTACCATCTGCGCTCGATTCGACTAAGCCGGACGAGAAACCTTGGCTGCCGGATCAAAACCTGGACATTCGTCCTCGAGGAACTGCGCGAGGGGTGGAAGCTTGCGATGCTGCCAAACACAACTCCATCGTCATACGACGTGTAATCTCTCTCACAAATTGCAAGAAGCGCAAGTGGTGGAAATCCGAATTGCTCAAACCCCGAGAACCCCCATGCGCTGACACGTGATTAGAGAGCTCTGCATGAATTCATGACCCACAAGATTGGACAATTCAGATGTTCTAATCATTCCTTCAGGAAACAATTTTGAAGGACGAATGAAATTAATCCAAACCCACTCCGATAGCTTCATTATACACGACATCGACCTCACTGACAAGTAGTGATTTAAACACCAAGTAGGGTGAGGATCATGAATTTGTACCATTCCTGTATATTCTACGACAAAGTATTCCAGTATCTCTATTGTGGCTTACTTTGACATTGAACTTCAATAATTTAGTTGAAGCAATTTTTGGAGTATTATTGATTTCGAGGATAGAGGAACAAGAAATCAGGTTAAGGGATCAGAAAAGAAGAGAATCTTTTTCCTTATAAAAAGTTGCAGAAGTGGAAGTAATTACAACTAACATACGCCAATTTTAGCCAATTTCATTCTTCAATTCGACGAGGAGTTTACATTGAGCCTTCTTCTTTAGAATAGTTTCAAATCTGTGCATTATGAGTATTCTTCATCTGATACTTGAAAATAAAAATTGGTAAATGTTCAAATCTCCATTTCTTAATTGAAGTCAAACAGTTTTCAAATAAATTTCAAGTGTTGCATATGATTACAACTTCTAACTGCTGTATATCAATCTGGTAGACACTTGATAAGGAATGAGAACACAAAACCTCAAACCGTAAAGAGTGATATAGACACAACATATGGCACTAATATGTAGCGAATATCTTTAAATTTTATCATTTTACAAAAATCTAGTCATATACGAATTTAATTTTCCTACCCAAAAAAATATCTTTAAATCTTGTTAAAAGAATAAATAATAAGTATGGTGTATTGGAATAGAATTGTATGCATGTTATCATCAATAATTCATTTTTTCATCGACACACTGTTGCATATAGATTTCCTTACTTCAAAGTAATAATAAATTTACCTACTGGGTAAAAGATTTTATCTTGTATATATCTTATAACTCGTGCAAATGTACATATATATATATATATATATATATATATATATATATTAACAAAGAAAACTAAATCACTTTTCCAGTATGAGAATAACTTACAGCATATGTCAATCTTCTGAAATCATTTCATTATGTACGAGGAAAAGCATTCGCCAGATATCTTTTCGGTAAGCAAATCCTCGTCAGTAGGGTATCGGTTAAGCATGAGCATGATTTAGTTCTCTTTGTAGGTGATATGGAAATGTAACAACTGGACAGACACCAAACATGAAATGTGAATGAACATGCTAGAAATCATCGCAGCTCCCGTTTTTAAAAGGAAAAAAATATTTTCCATCGATTCGGTTCTGCTTGTCGGCTGTTAAGTGTATCTCTGTACTATTTTATCAACAACCTTGGTTGCAAGCACCCCAGAATTGTTTCCTCCAAATTTAGCATCCGTTCTTTGATTCATGAACACGAACTTGAAACTGACAGTTGTAACCATTAATTACTCGTTTCGATCGCAATATGCTCAGAAAGCCCACTAGCAAAACCACAGCCACACACTTACTAAAATGATTTTTCACAAAAAAAGATAAATCAAAACAATTGTTAACAATATAGTTCCAATGGTTACACCAAAAACCGTCCAACTATGCAACATTTAAAGTCGACGGATAGATACTTTAAATCTTTTAAAATATCTTGTTGTCTTCTAAAAATTAGTCAAAGATTGATTTATCAGTAATATTCAAACGTGCTGCTCGTTTGAAAATTCGCAGAAGTCTCTGTCGTCAATCTCAACTGATCGGCACCTTTCGACGGTAATAAATACAAGTTATTTTAAAATAAGGCGAGGTATACTGGCATCTCCTAAATAGTAATACAACTCTGAAGAACATTTTTTTTAACAGATTTTGGGCTCATAATTTATCCAAATTTTTAAGAAGTCTCAATTGGTCGACAGTTGATCAAAGACATGATGGATCACTTGAAAAAGAGTGAAAAACTCATGAGAAAGTCTCACAATGATGTCAGTGAGAAGCTCTTCTACACCCTGCCATACCAACCATAGTCTCCTACTGCAATGTTCAAAATTGGGCATGTAAGGACCGAATTCATTTTCCTTGAGGGATTGTGAGAGAAAAACTTCGGATGCAAAGTACTAAACCAGGCTCGGTCATAATATCCGCGCGTGGGTTTTGTGCAAGCAAATGACTGATCATTTGGCCATCCACAATCTCAAGTACTCGCTCTTGCCTTCGAGCTGGACATTGACTTCACCGCTCTGGCCAAGCGACGCTTCCATAACAGGTCCCAAATCACCCGCAGCTCACTCGAGGCACTTAATTTATTGACTGCCCGAGTGAGCAGCAGAGCTTGAGCCTGCGCTGCTGCTTGTCCGGCAAAGATCTCTGATGGAAATCAAGTGCAGTCCACGAGCTCGTTCTCTCTTCCAACCAATCCGAGCACTTCTCTCCTCTTCGACATTTCTTTCGTTTATTCTACATACTACAGCACTCATGAGTCTAAACTACAAGACTTAGTTGATATTTCTAAATTCAGTTGGATTTTCTCTGCGTGTTTTTTGTAAACCATTTACGCTAGTTCGGATATGCTAGATGTCATTGTGTTAGTTTATGCGAACTATGAGACAGTATTAAGGGAAGTCTTTGCTTGTCGAAGATTTTGTATGTCAAGGTATTATGTCAATGACTCCAAATCACCATTTATCACGTCCCGATACAATCAGCTCTCGGAAAGAATAAGGGTTTTCCCGGCTACTATAGTTGTATAATCAGAAGATTTAAGGGAAGGGCCGTATGAAGGGGTGTTGGCTCCAGAATAAGATCCTATTTCTTCAATCCTCCGGTTGAGATAGATAACATTGCCGATTTTCTTCATTCTTCGTGCAAAATGATTCCATCCTTAAATCTCGCGTTCACGTGATCCTTCTGTTTTCTTGGATTAAAGATGAAATAGAAGAACAACAAGGTGCTTCCGTTGGATATAAGATTTAAAATTTCGATGTAAAATCATCATGCAGATGTCTGTACGAAGGAAAAATAGCAAACAATTTTGGTTGGAAAGTTGGATTTGAAGGCGGTTTACTCCGTTCAAACAATCAGTACAGGTGAAGTGTCTATTATTATTGGAAAATGAAGAGCATACGTACTAAACACCGATGTGGATGTCAATGACGTTGGATCTCAATCACGATAAATTGCCCACACTGATGACAAATCCAGTTTGCTGATATTCTAACAATTACAAGCAGTCAGCAAACCTCCCGCAAAAGGTTTGTCAAAAACTGTACCTTTCGTTCAAATTACATTCAGCTCTTACGACACGAAAAGGCAAGCAAGCCACGGATTTCATGCACCGAACTGTGCACAACCTCATAATCAAAAAGTATGTTAAATACGTCCCACACTGATTTTGTGGGTTCCAAAAAGCGCTTGGATGAAGTGCAACTTCAAACCCTCTTCAGGTACACTGGGGGTTTCACAAAGCGGCTCACCGCCTGCTCCTCATGTGTAAATTTACATCCTACTGAGGTTTCTGTTTCCAGGACAAGGTAGTATATCAATACAGCAGTTTATTTTCATTTGACTTCCTATGTTCTCTATGTCTAGTCCTGAGACGTACATTGCTCAATATCACTAAACTTCAACTCAAGCCCAGTATGCAGTGGAATTTGCGGCTCTAAAAGATCCCTCCTGACAACCGAGTCACCAGACACCTCTAGTCCAGTATGACAATGTAGGTAACACTTGTTGCTTATGGTACAGAGGAGAGGATGCATATGCATACAAGGTAATCTAGGCAAAGGCCCGAGTCAATGCTGTTGCAAAGTGAGCCTTTGTACATGACTCAATTTGGATCAGTTGATTCCAGTTTTGGCCGAACCAAACTCTACTCTGTGAACTGCGCTTGCCAGCACGCAAGAGCAGCCGCCATCATACTCGCTCTCGTCAACACTGGCTCGGGTAGAGTGAGGTGAACATGGGCGAAGTAGGGTCGAGGCCTGGAAAGTCGAAGATGGTTCTGGGCTTCTAAGCTTCAAGTAAGTAGATCATTCTACGAGCTAAGTACATGCTCGAGCCGGGCTTCTTCTTCTTACTTGAAGCTCTCCTCCCGACTAGGCGCCAGGCTTGATGTCACCGAGCCCCTTGGTGTGATTGAGCCCCTCTGCGGAAAAAGTCGTTGAAAGTTAGCGCCCTCTCGGATACAAAATGCTTCCGGCCGATTAGGTTCAAGGCTTGGCAAGATTCTTGAACAATTCTAAGAGGCTTGTGAACTTATGAGCAAACGTCAACTTCGATTCTAATGAGATAACCGAAAGGGTTCATCATAGTTCATCTCTTGCCATGGTCATACTTGCTTTGTTCTGCAGATCGAGTTACAAGACGTCCAAAATTTTAGCAAACTCACTAAACGGGCCGATAGGCGATTGTTAGCCTCTGCGCTGGCCCAAGCACAAAAGATGGAAGAACCCAACCAGCATCGAAAGCAAGTACCTACCTCTTTCTTATACTGCTCAACCAATTTGGTTAGTTGTTGATCCAGCTCTTGTACTTCATCATGAAGATTTCTGCGCTCTTCTCTTGCGTCAAAGAGCATCATTTCTGCTGGATTCTCAAAATTCCTGTAAACGAATGAAAAGTTTTCAATCAGCAATTTTAGGATCAGTTTGACGGAAAACGGAACCCCAGCTTTCAATTATCAACTTTATTCAATACAACGATAATATATCGACCCTACACAATCCTGGACATCAAGACTTTAACTTCTTGCTTTGTGAGTAAGACAATAGAAACTGGTGTCTCTTGAAGAAAGCCAATATGGTATGACCAGCTTTGAGCAAGTCCAAATTACATACCTATTGTGACTTCTCGAAGGTACTGAATTAAGCTGAGCAAGAAATCTCTCCAGGTACTCTTCTCTATTGAATACAGAATGGTATAACGCCTCCCAATTGCGGGCGAAGAAGTAATAAAAGACTGTTCCTGACACCGCCAGGACTAGAAAACATCGCCCGGCAGGCTCTTGATACACCTTGGTTTGAATGGTGACCAGCGTTAGTAGAAAAAAGAAGAGAGCTAGCATGCCACCGTTCACGATCAGCCTGCAACGAAACCAAACAACTACGTTAACGCGTCCCGTGAAGATATGATGACGGCTCTCAACTTCACCTCTCCTCCCATGCCTTCAAGTTGCACAAATGCCCCAGTTGCCCTTAGAAAAACAAACTTTCACATCTAGATGTCCCAGAAGTAATCCGGTACGAGTTTTCTTAAAACATACACACAGCCACGACTGATTAGTGTACATCTCGTAAAATAATATACCAAACTAAAATGACTAAATCTGTGCGGTAATATCAGACATTCTAATTGCTTCGGTTGAGGGAGCTTACCTATACTCGTTGAATATAGATCTCACGTTGCGAAGAAGAATACCAAGACCGAGGAAACAACAGAAATAGAAGGGAATGATGATAAGCAAGCCAATGGACCATCCCCGCCCAACAGAGCAGTTTCCCGACGCAGGTTTGAAGCTGCAAAACAGACGAGCAGTCAATTCACAATAATCTTCTTCTCAATCAGAGTTTTCGAAAGTACACACTGATTATTAGAGTGCTACCCGAGCTGAATCCTGCAGACAGCAACACCTGCTACTGAATTAATTTCGGTGACCGTCAAAACTACGCATTTTCAGAACCATTAAGAGAATCTTTCCAAAGTAGATAAAAAAAACTTAGTAGCTGGGATACTCCGACAGCAAGTCAGCCGAAATGGAACAGACTAAAAGTCCCAGCACTCTATGAATCTCAGACGATGGTCACATGAGGAAGTACCTACTGGCGTGCAGGGCAGAGGCGCATATGGAGAATACGATGATGGGAGAAAGCAGCATGAGGACAGCAACGGTGGACCACTTCACCACAGGGCGTCGAAGGACCAGAATGAAATACAAATTGATGAGGCGTAAGATGAGGCAATTTAGCCACAATGCAAACCCAAAGCAGGCTTGCATCCAAAAAGTCCACAATGAACAAACAGACCAAATCGTGTCCTTAGGTCGGCCAAAATGGTTATTTACCACCAGACATGATAACAGCCAAATTACACCACCGATGGAGCTGACGACTGTCAGTTCCACGCTCTTTGTCTTAATTGGGAGATAGTCTTTGTTCTTCACCATCACCACATTCCCTGCAATGAAAGGGATCAATCCCAGACTAATCACACCTACGGTGATATAATCCAACGGCTGCCGTGACTTCACAGAAAATTGCGTGCTGTTTGTAGGATGAAAAGAGCAGGCCTCTTGGTTATTAAAGGTAAACAAGTCCATGGTCTCGCCCAGGACCTCCTATTTCACCTGCTTTCCTCGACCTGAATACCGAAGACCATCTGTTTATTTCCTGGACAATGATTGTTGTCCGCGAATCATTTCTCACTTCGAGGAAGCACTATGACCTTTTGCCAGTAGAGATCTGCCTCATTTTCCCGTCTAACCTCTTCCCGCCCACGTTCATCCCCCAGATCACAGCTTCTCTACCATCCTCTTCACCAACCGAGTCCGAAACCTCAGAAAACGTTTAGACTGCAATCCACTGAAAACGTCCATGAGAAGGCAGCCATATCATGGCTTCACAAGCCTGATCGCAGTGACCTCTCATCTCACGTCCAGAGCAATTCCCCATCGAGAGCTTGCTCTCACCTGCACAAACGAGAGAGAGCGATGCGCGGGGACTATGTCAGCGACGAGAGAAACAGTGCCGAATGCCAAACACCATGACCAGGCTCGAATGTCAAACAGAGGTCCTGCGGCAGTGCTCGTCCATTGGGTACAGAGTGGACACTGGAGAGTAAGGGCCAAGTGCTTACAACGTCTCTTACACCGTGGACCGATAAAACCAGCTAATAGAGTCAGAGCAGACGGGAACGAATCGAAAATGGAAAGGACACGCTCAGCCGCCGAGTTGACTCTTTAGGAATCCTGGAGGAAAGGGGACGCCCAAATCTCCCTTCCCGCTGCTGACGCTCGTTCTCTCTCACACTCTCTGAGAGCCCGAGAGCGAATATCTGCAGAGTGCCCTCTGTCGAGTACTGACTCGTACGTAGTTGCCCTGGTCCACACCTGTCCGAGCTCCGGGGCCCTGGGCCCTGTGTCCGAGGGGGACGTTGACGGAGACGGCCCCCTGGGCCCAGGGGGCCCTCGTCCTCCTCTCCGTCAACGTCCCCTAGGACCCCTTCCTGTGGCCCGAGCTGTGGGAAATTCCCGCAACGCACGTCCATGATCCATATCCTCGGCGTAGCGGTAAACACGCCCCCCTCGCAACCCGCCCTTCTTCTCCCCCCCCCCACCACCCTCCCCACCTAGACAGACACAAGCGTCTCCCCACCTAGACAGACACAAGCGTCATGGGGCAGTCTTAGACATACCTTTCGGGCGTACTGAGACGTTGACTTCAGTGCCTAGTGCTGCATCACTAGGCACACTTGAGCCGTTCCTGCTCTTCTGACGGAGGACTGCTCACGTCACATCTTCAAGCTCAAGAGATGAGATACTGCGAGAATTTGCATCATGGGAAAAGTTATGTACAAACACACCTCTCTCTCTCTCTCTCTCTCTCTCTCTGAGCGTGCATGGTGTCAGCCTCCGTGCCAATATCGGCTTTATCAGTACTTCCGTTCGCTCAGTTTCAGGCCTCCAGATTATTCTCCACACGTGATGTTGGACAATCCCAGCTGAAAAGCGTGGTCGACATCTCAAATACAATCTTATCGCTTTCTCCAGGGCGTTATCCATCAGCTTTTGGCCACTTGCACAACTGGCTTGGGTACGAGAATAATCGTCTCGACTATCGTGCGCGTCTTCCTTTACGTTTGACAGTATTCAAAATGAGACGAAAGTAAGTGGGACAAGCTCTGGTGCGCGACTTTGCGGATTGATTCCTGTACTCTTATGGGTAAGTTCACAAGGGCCTGACCGCGGGTCAAGTGCTACATCATACCTGAAAATACAGATTGCATGACACTTGACATGTGCTATTCACCATGAGATGAACGGTGGTGTTGATGAACTTTTGCAGCTGTTGGTCAAACATCCTGGCCGTAGCTCGAAGACAGATAGCTTGGATCAGCAAGCAGAAAGATGTAGTCCAAGTGCCAAGTCCACGTCTACCGACTCTGAGTAGTATGGCGATATATCGGTGAATGTGTATAAGGACCTGTGTTTGAGTCCGTTTGACGAACTCGAAGAAGGCTTTGTACAATATTTCTATGGTCCAGAAGCAGACCTCTGTTTGGCTGAAAGTGTCAGCCATATCTAATCAGTGAAAACTACCTACTAGTCACTAAGACATAAAGAGCTTAGTCTTTCAATTCTTCAAGTACTTTGCAGACCTCAACAGAAAGTCCACCATTCATCAGTATCCATATCCAAGCCATCTGCTGTTCAGAAAGTCGATCTCGAGGCCCCTTCACCTCTACAAGTTTGGCCTCACCTCTCAAAGCAGTGTTTCTGGTTGAGAGGACCAAATCTTTGGTCACATTTTTACACCCTTCTTCTCCTAAGCATAAATCCTCGCAGTTCATTGAGTCGATAGGTTTTATTTTTAAGGACACGTCAGTCACTGAACAGCCACACATTGAGCATTTAGAACAATCCGAAGAAGTATTAGCACTCGTTCGCCACAAAAGCAAATCTGGCATTCCTCCTCTCCAACCAGCATGGTCCTCCGCCAACAGTCTACATACATGAGACAGTCCAGAACCTCCAATGCATGTTGCAATAGTGAGGAGTTCTGCTAGCGAATGACGCTCCCAGTTCACACCATCGCACATAGTGCCAAAATTCTTGTTCCACGATTGAGTGACGATGCTCTCTGTATTACCAACAGCTATGGCAGCGAGCCGCGTTTCGATCAAATCTTGTCGTGATGGATAGAATAGATCGGTGTTCAAATCAAGAGGGGCAGTCTGCGAGAACAGTGAGCAACGAGGAATAAATTGATGAATTCTTGTAAATTGTTTCTAGAAGACAACACTGCTTGCAAGCACAACCTGAGTGATAAGCAGAATTTTCAGATGCTCATTATCAACTCCACATTCCCAAGTTGCAGGAAAGAAGAAAAAGGGTAAAAGTCTAAACCTGAAATGGATTCTGGAACACATCTGGAACTTCAGCAAAAAGTACATCCCACATCAATAGCCCAAACAACGTCAACCACACACCACCTTCACAGTGTACTCCTTGCCAGGCTCCACCCTCCTCGCTGGCATAGTACTGCAAGGCTAATTCTTCAACACCACACTGCTCTCCATCATATCCATAAAATCGGCTTTTCTTGCCAGTCACACAATTGAGGGGTCTGCCTCGAATTTGAACCTGCCATGAAAACGAAAATGACATAAAATATATTGAGTTCACATTGCTATGACATCGGTGAGATTACTTCAAAATCGTTTGACAATATACGCAGAAACTATCATAAAAAGCACAAGTGCTGAAATAGAACGGTTGAACTCACTTCCTTGCACTTTCTGTTCAATGAATCTGCATATGGAGGTCTTTTCCATCTCCGAGGTGGCTTTCCTAACCGGACCACCCGTCTTTGTAAGGCAACTCGATCACCTCCACGTATCCATGGCTCATTTACTCCAGATTCAGCAACCTTCAAGCTCTCTTCTTTACAACCAAGGTGATCGAGGTTGACTGATAACCTCAAAGTCCAATAACCCCACCTACCCGACCTGACTTTGCTTCTTAGAAGCTCTTTCAGCACTTCCACGGCTTCTTTATACCTGAAACTCTTTGCGGTGAAACTTGTGAGATACCATTCACTTTGTCTTAGAAGGCAATTATAGCGCAGGAATTCTTTTTCAACACTCTATTCGGCATGATGTACGATTCTGATGCTAGTCATCAACGTCTAGTCAACGAACCACACCCAACAACATGAACAAGCACATACCTTCGCTCGCGTTCTAGGATGGATACTCCCACCGTGATAACGTTTCGATACACGTACGACGCCGAGAAGCGAGCAAGAAATGATGGGGTTTTATCGACAGCTGATTCGACGACCTGGCAGACGCTCATTTCATCCCGAGCTCTTCTAAGAAATTCTAAGGCCTTCTCCGTGTCATTAAGTTCTAGAGACATATCCATGGCCTGAGCAACCTCCAAAGCCTGTGAACAACAACGTCAATGCACAAATATAAGCGGAATCAAAGGAGGCCATAAATCAAAAGCTAAAAATGCAGATGGGCCTGAAACATAACTTTAATGAAGATAATTTTTCTAGTATTCGTAATTTATCAGTCACGCGAAAAGAACGGACGCGAACCTGCTCATAAGCAACAAGGGCTTCATGCGAGGGGAAAACGTGTCTTGATTTCAGGCATTTATACTGTGGATACTTCACCAATCCCATGTCCACCACGAGGAAGGATGAAAGATCTCTCCCCTTATCCAAAAAGAAAAGCCTCTGAAAAATCCAATTGGACATCAGATTGTTTCTCAAGTCTTAAATAATGAACTTCTTGTCTTTGCCTTTAATTAGTGGATGGCAGATAGTCTGAGAAGTCATTCTTGAATCGAGATGTTCTTTAGAGCAGGAACAAGTTCAACAGATAGTCCACCTGCAAACGCCATAGCAAAAATTCGGCTTGTTCTGATACACGTATACAAGGTCCTGTAATTTCGGCGACACTCTCCATAACTGTTCTTGATCGACTGTACGAAATAAGATCACATTTACAAATACATGAGTCAGTTAGTATCTAATAGCTCTCTCTTGTAACCTTCGTCACCTTTATCAAATCACCGTGTGTTCTGCAATCTAACCCGACTCACTTACGGCAAACTGAGGGACGTGTGTGGGCAGCTATCGGACAACAGCTGACGGTAAGCGACACGATAACAAGCAATAGAAGCTGTAGCTCAACATCAACCGAGCTAAGAACAGATACAATACACCAAGTCAAGAAAGACCTTTCTGGCTGCAGCATCCAATTACCTGCTGCTTGAAACCTCAATATTCCATTGTTTCTCCATAGCAGTAGAAACAATTAGACTGACAAGTTCTTCCCTTCTCGCTGAAGCGGCCTCCTTCTTTTTCTGCGCACGAGAGAGTTTAGAAAAAGACGTAGAATGTGACTGCTAGTCCATATGGAAGTAATAAGTGTATTTTCTGGTGAACGACGAGGCAAAGATACAAGGTCAAACTCTGTATGTAACACAGTGAAGACAACGAAGAATTAACTTTAATGTACTGAAGAGAAGACTTGACTTTCCCAAACGCGATACCTCATAACACAAGAACGAGAGAAGCAGTTGAAGGAGCATTATAAGACAGCTGACTTCAAAAAGATCAAATGAGAGAATGGAGGCCCCAAGGAGAATATGTGCGAAGAATCTAACCAGCCCCCCTCAAATCTTCAATCTCAAGCAGATATCTTGACGTGAACCTAGGGCAACGTGTGAGGACGTGTTGAAGAACACGCCCCAAGTTCCGGATAATTATCCTGGAGTGTCAGGGCAATGAAAATCAACTGTATATTCAGACGCACAAGCTCGAACAGAACGTGTCTGCAAGCCTAGCCTCCTCTACTTCTTCGCAGTTGGTTGCCCTGCTCGGGCAACTTTTCAAGTAGAAATCAAGGACAAGTAAAGTAACCTTAAGTAAAGCAGAAAGTTGTCTTAGCTCCAGCATATTGAGAATTTCAATTCTCGTTCTCATCGATGCCCCAGGTTCTTCTTGGGCACTGCAATCGGCGCTCATGAAGCCGGAAGCTGCACAAAAGTAATGACCCAGCTACACATGAATTCTACCTTATTTACCCGATATAGCTTCGATTTGAACTTCATTATACTATTTGATAAGTCAATATGACTGATGGCTTATACGGGTAGACTTAACAGATACCAAACTTGATGACTAAACTAGTTGCTTCAAGCCAGATGCAGTTCCTCGGGCTCTTTCAAACTTTCCTACTTTTCCCTGCACACACGTCGATAAGTAGTGTGCAAACCCGGACGAGCTACTTCACGTGAATAACACGCTTACTGTAACTAATTTCCTCCTCAAAGGTCAAAGATCTGCATCTGAAAATGAAGACCTATAATTAAGAAGAAGAAGTTCCTGTAATTACCAAGTAGCTCATCCGAGGCAGTGGTAACGTCAGCAACATCTTTATAAGAAAGACTCGAAAGACGGAACCACGGTCCTGTAAAGAGTTACACAGATCATCTCAAGCTTAGAAAAACAAAGCATGAAAGACAAGACTGATCAATTGCCCAAAAAAGGAGAGAGCACTGCTTTGGAACCAAAAATGGAAGCTACAAGAATGAAAAAAATTGAGATATTTATTTACCTTTTCGCTGATAAAGGCGGATGAAAAGCCTTTGAGCATCGCCAGACAATGCATAAAATGTTCCTGGAAAATAATAAAACCAGTCAGCCTGAACTCAGCCATGCGTATATTTTTATCCAGTAAGAAAAAACATAGCGTGAGTGAGCATCGATCACATTGATAACCGGACTTACCTAAAAAATGCTTCTCTTGATCTTCGAATAGGTGGGAATCACGTTCCAATACTGTTCGCATAACAGCTAAAAAGTTGTGTTGGTACTTCGAGACCCGCAAAGTAGGAGATATCCCGGAAGAAACGTTTTCAGCTGCAACGAGCATACTCTGCCAGCTTTCTGCGGCCCCATCGAGCAGGGAAAGGTCAGTGCTGGCACTTGCGCTTTCAAATGAGAGTTTCAGAGGTACATCCCCATGAATTTGTTCCGGAACGGTTACCACGAATCCCTGCATAGTCCGGATAGATAAGTACTTACGCACAATTTTTCGAAGAGAAGAATGAGCATAAGAAGAACATATTTCTAAAATGGACGACGCCCCGCAGGTGTCGTGTCCTTTGGACCAAGAAAGTGTCCGGAGGGGGCGAAAGTGACCGACGAGAGCTTCAACCACATGTGGCTTTATTTCCCACATATTTCTTCCCACTTCAATTGCAGTTGCAAATGACAAGAGTTCTAGTAACATGAACGCTGAATAGCCTCTACCTGGACATGAACAAAGGCTTTGTCGAGGAGAGGCGCAAGGTGAGCACTGATCTCCTTAGGAAGATGGCCCACTGCAGGTCCAAGCGGAGTTTCGAGTGGAACCACCTGGTATTCATGCAGGCATCCATTAGACAAACCACGAAAGCTGAAACACGAAATTAAGCAACATGAAAACGTGTCAAAGTTGTATCGGAAGGCAAACCTTGATAGCGTTTGGATCCTTGGGATTCTCTGGATCTCTCAGTAATGTAACTTGCATTCCTTCTTCGCAGAATATACCTCTATTGTACCTACGCCCTACTATTCTGGTTTCCAGAGTTCCAACCAATGAGTTTTTGGCAAGTTGACCTGTCGACGACGTGCTCAGGCTCAAGTCTTCAGCATTTGTAGATGGAAGGAATCCTGTTGGTGTCGTCTTGTCCTTGACAACAACAAGAAGATCCCTCCCACTATCATATTCCTCTGTGTAAGTCTCCATTTCTATACTTTCCCGTGAATTATCATTACCTTCTAGTTTACAGATGTCTTCTGTGGACAGATGACACGAACAAGAACAATTAATCTTAGCTGACTGAGACAACGACAGATCTTTCCCGGAATTGTCGACGTGGTTCCTTGTTCCGGAACAAATGACTTCAACTTTTGTCTCCACAGGAACTACTGATAGTTCCAGGGACTTGGATGATGTTGTTTCCCAGGCCGTTAGCCCAACTGATGTAGCAGCACCGTTCAGCAGAACACCTTGTCCGAGTGAATCCAACTGTGATCTTCTGCCGGTGTCTTCGTTGTCATCTTCATGTTTGATTTCAACCTTAACCTTTTTCAACTTCAGTCTACTTCGAGATGATAAGGGGGGTTTAAGCGGCCTCTCAGATAAAATGTCCTCTGTCTTAATCGTCACGAAGCTTGTTTGCTTCTCTTCCGAAAGCAAGGGATGAACTCGTGATGATGAAGGTGCGCTTGAAAGTTTGTTCACACCTGGACTGAAAAATCGTGAAAGGATTGATTGCTTAATTTTCTGTTTTCCCTCCGATGCCCCTCCTTGTCGACAGAAATCTGATGTAACAACACACCTGACAGTCAAATACTGATTGAACTCCACGATATAGCCATGCTTACAATTTGCATCAATAAGCGGAAAATAGCGAAAGCTAGAGGCGCATTCCGAGAGGAAGAGACGGCTTACCTTGGTGAGTATTAGAGGCGAGACCGCCACTCACTGTCTTCGAGCAAGTGGGACATTGCGTCAATTCTCCATTGACCTCCGCCTCTACCTTGACCACTTCTTGCTTCACTTTAAGTAAATTACTTTTGGTGCTCTCGGCGTCCACAAGACTTTCAGCCTCTGTGCCTTGTTCTTGGTTTACAGAATGATATTCCACACGTTCTTGCTTCACTTTCTGTAAATATTCTTTGCTTTTGGCGGCATCCACAAGACCTTCAACCTCTGTGCCTTGTAGATGTTTTGTAGAAAAGCTGGATGAACATCGAAATTCTACACACTCTACCTTCACTTTGACTAAACTTTTTTTGCTGCTAGCACCGTCCAGAAGAGTTTCGGCCTCTGTGACTTGTTGATGGTTCACAGAAGAGCTGGATGAACATCGAATTTCCACACTTTCCTTCTTAACACTTCCCACAGTGCTTCCTAAAAGAGAAAACTCTTCCACCTGCAGCAGGATGGATGATTAGTCCCCGAATTTCGCGTTGATAAACCGCAGTCAAGAGCACGATGGAGACATGAAGGGCATGTATGAGTTACTGTAACAACATTCTCTAACAGACGTCTTATTCGAGACCACAGAATATGCAGCTGGAATCTTGCGAAACTTGAAACTACCTGGTTTTTCGACACACACAGAGCTCGTTTGTTTGGAGATATTGCCGAAAGAGAAAGTCTCCGACGCTTGCCTATGAGCCGAGTCAGCGAATCATGTCCTCTCAACATTTTGAGCACGTTCAGAGTCCTTCGACTATTCAATAATCATTTTTGTACAACTTTCCAGGCCATGAGGCCACTACACCTGTGTGGGCTCAGCCTAGCTCCTCTCAGAAGGAGAAGATCATCTGAGCAGCCAGTCGAATGGCTAGCGTGCCTCTGTCTGCTTAGCACTTTCCGCCATTTCAAGCTTATATAATTTCTGCCTTTCCTGGGAAGTCTCCACACACCTCCTCTCGTCTCCAGGACTTTTCCAAGTGTGAAGATGCAGTAATTCACCAACTCACTCAAAAGCTCTACACTAGATCCTTCACCACAATTCCTCATCGGCCTCAGAGCTTATCCCTTGAATCAGCAGCACCAATCAATCTGTACCCTTAGCAACCACTAACAGCTACGTATGTCATCCGAAACCTCTCCTTGCCTTGCCTTGCCTCCCTGTGGAAACGGATCCCTGGTGAAGCCCAAACCTGTTGGTCGACGGAGATGAGATTTTGAGTTTCTGGATCCTTCCTGTGCTAAGAAATTCCTGTTGTGTAAACAAAGCCACACCTTCTGACTGAGCAAAATTAAATCTGATATTCAATAGGAAGCCATCCCTGCAGCACAATCCTTCCCGCCAGTGTCGAAAGTGAATCGACATTCTCAGCGCAGCATCAAAAGACTCACCTTCGACGGATCCAGGTGACGGTCGCAATTGAACACTTCCCTGAATCATCATCGATCCCTCCCTCCCTCCCTCCCTCCCTAGAACCGAGCCATCGACCGTCCGCTGACTTGGAGCGCCTCGATTCGAACCGAATCATCCACTCCTTGCATCAGGATCAGAGTCGCTGGTCGGAGAGTTTCGAGACCAGCGCCAGATCCGCCAGCGGCGTGTGCAGGAAGCTACCTCTTCCGCCACTCTCCAATCCTTCGAACCACCGAGTCTCGCATCTTCTTCACTACAGTAGAGTACAGAACCGTACATGTACACGTCTGCGCACTACAGTATACACCGTACATGATGCATTACGCATTATGTACATAGTATATATGTACATGCCTCGCTGCCGCCTCCAATCGAGTCGAATGTGTTGCTCGCTCTCTGAAACCTTCGCGTTTGATGATAAATGTGCAGATTTTTTGTGACCCAAAATGGCCAAAATGATTACTCTTGTGAGACCAACACAAGGTTATTGATCGGAATTTCTTTTCGTATTGTAGGGTTCCATATCAGATGAACTGGAGCGTATTTGCTAAGAGCCGATGAAGGTTGAAGGAGAACAAATAAAGCTTGCATGCGTCATCTGAATCGGAACGTGAAGATGAAAATGGGTTGATAAATAGTCCGCATTAAGTTGCAAACTAGTGTTATTAGAGGATAAAGATAAGAGGGATGTTCAGTTGTTCGAGAGATGGACAAAAATTGACAAATGTGCTGCGTTAGTCCGGCCCAGCTTCCATGCAATTGTAGCTCTGTATCATGTTGAGCAAAGATGTATCTTTTAGTGATGAATGAAAATGAATGAAAGATGTGTATCTTTCAATGCTAGGAAGTTGGAAGTTTGTCTTCCATTACCGCAAACGTAAGATAGTTCAGAAGTTTAGGCTCAGAGAATCATGGAACTAATTAATATGGCGAATAGGCACCCTAAAACCCATGAATAAGTTCGTGGATGAAACCAAAGGGGTTGATTACAATGGCATCACTATGAAAAGTATGTCATCTAATGTGTCCCAATTATCTAGTAACATTTACATAGTACATATTGTAAGTATTGTTGTAGACTGTTTATTGATTATAAAATATATTCATCTTTTAAATTCGTACATATTTATCAAAATTTCATAACCAAAAATTTCAAATTTATATGATTTATTATATATTTTCTTATTATTATTTTACTCATTGGCCAACGGGAAATATAAGTAACGCGACGAGAAAGACACAACTCGGGAAACGGGCCGCGGTGTAGCGGGAATGAATATTACGAATATTGAGTTACGAATCGTGTATTTTTTCCTAGGTAATGAAAAAACCGAGGCATAGATTTCATACACATCCATGAAAATTAGTTATAAAGTAAATAATTTTGTTTGTAAATTACTTTATAAAATTTCAATACTTTAATGCTTTTTCAATTTTAATTTTAATTTTTCTGAACCCCCATAATTCTGAACACAACTTCTATAGAGACATATTATATATAAAAAAAATTAAGATATATTTTATGAACATACTTTGCATATCGAGAAATGTTATTTATACAAAAGGAATTTGTCAGTAGATGTTTGAAGTTACTAAAGTTTAATAATCACTAACAAATGTTTTCGTTATTTGAAGATGACTTGTTATATATAATTTTAAAATAGAGTATACAATTTTCAAATATTTAAACCTTCTGTCAGAATCTCAACAATCTCTTTAGTTATAAGTCACATTTGAATTGTAGAAGTTACCCATGACAAAATTTGGTTTAGTTTATAAGTGCCGAATTAGAACAATTTAGCAAAGTATCGTTCAATTCTTTCACTTTTTATCATCGTAAATCTTAAACATTTCTTTTGAATTCTCCAGGTACAACATTATGTCATTTCAGTGCCCTTAACACAAAAATCAAAACATCTCGGTCAGCAGCAATCACGTCAGGACAGAATTTCATCAGTCAAGAAACTGCACTGTATTTCGGGAGTGGTTGTAATATATCGACCTTACGCAGTCCAGTCATTTGAATTGTAGAAGTTACCCATTCGACGTAGAGCGCAACCACCTTGAAAATCTCTGTAATGCTCACTGTCCTTGCTACTCTACTTTGTCATCATAGAACTCTTGCGCAGATTGGTTCTGTTATAGAGACAACGATGGATGACGTCTTCACGGTGGAATGTTGCGCTTATGAGAGCACAGATTACTATACCACCGTTCAAGCGTATTATGGACCTTGGGAGATGGAGCCGCATCAGCTGCAGTCTCTAAAATTGGTGCCTGTGGACTCCCACACCTCCAGTATCGAGTGTCACTTCGTTTGGCAGGTCAAGAACATGCATCAGGCTTTCCCAATTTTTATCAAGTCTGGGCTCGTGCTTCCATGTGGGGATTTTTGCCGCTGGACCGTATACGCGGATGGGTTTGACCTCTTTAGACCAAAGAAGAACATGGATACTCGCTAAACATTTGAATTGTAGAAGTTACCCATGACAAAAATTGGTTTAGTTTACAAGTACCGAATTAGAACAATTTAGCAAAGTATCGTTCAATTCTTTCACTTTTTTCATCGTAAATCTTAAACATTTCTTTTGAATTCTCCAGGTACAACATAATGTCACTTCAGTGTCCTTTAATACAAAATTCAAAACATCTCGGTCAGCACAGCGAACCACAGAATTTCATCAGTCAAGAAGCTGCACTGTATTTCGGTGTATCGTGAGTGGTTTAAGTATATCGACCTTACGCAGTCCAGTCGCGTCCCTGTGCCTACTGCAGCAGCACAGTGCACTGCATGACAAGTCTTCGTACTCTGGACGACATCGTTGACCCACGCCGCTCGTCCCCTGCCAATGTCCCATCCACTAACAAACCGTGTTCCAGAGCCCAGAACGTGGCTCGCACATGGTTCACTGTCTCGTCCTCTCGTGAGACCAACTGGGTTGCTCTGATGTTGTACGTATCTTCTGTTGTTTTGTGTCTTCTTATGTTACGCACTTGATGCAGAGATAACATTTTCTTTTGCATCAGTTAAAATGGCGTCACATAAAGGGGGATGAACTGCTACGTATAGCTGGGGTGAGTCTGAAATTCAATGATAGATCGAGATTGAGCATCTCTTTGATCCGTATAGTTGGAAAGAAGACCATTCGTATATGAATCAATTCTATGTACGTAGTGTTTTCGTCATGACGACTAAGAACTCATAGTGAAACTTGTTTCCGCTCGATAAATTATAATGCCTCCAACCTCTTCCCGCTTCACCCTTCACGCTTCACAATGCTGAGGTCCTACATTGCTTACGCGTGATGGGAACCATCGTGAAAGTTTCGACTTTACAGGCTTAATCAAAGGGCTAAATATACAAGTTTACGATTGCTTAACACGACTTTAAAACGAACTGCTCCCCTGACAATACAATATGGTAAAGCAAACTAAAGTATGAGTGTTGACTGTTGAACGTCAAATCTTGGTGTTTAAAACGTCACTGGATATTTGCAAAAAGATCACAAACTTCGGTCTATCTTCAAAGAAATCAAAACTTTGACACATATCTCAGTGCCGAAGCTGATCTTTGATCTTTGCACGGTCAGATTCACTAGAAAATTAAACAACAAAGCAAACAACAAACTTCATTCAGATAAAACTACCTTCTATAATTCATTCAGAAAATCCAAAAAAGATGGAATGTTGAGAAAGTGTATTTGTTGACCTCAGTATATAGTATAGGGCAAGTAATTCAGATGCCATAACACTACACATTCCACGCCCGTGACTCTATACAAAGAGTCTCCATCGTCGATCCTCCCTAAGATCCCTCCATAGTCGAGATCTAGATTGAATTCAACAGAATGAGGCCATCCACTCCAACAGAGGTCTCAGAGCTTCCTACAGACTGCAGAGGCACAAAATCTCCTCCATATACGCATACTGAGGAAGAACCTGATCAGGTTACAAAAGGATAATGTACAGGTGGCAATTAGCCTGCCTCTCACCTGGCTCTTGAAAACTTACTAATCTTCCAATTCGAAAGTGAAAACCTTCGCTGCTGCGATTAACTACTATGAAAGTTGCTCAAATGCTTTGTAGAGATCTTTTACGCAAGACTCTGACCTGAAGTGCAGGTAAAATTGGACAAAGAATGGAGCTGAAGATAAGTTGAGATCTGCCTCTCAAAATGTATTTTTCCTAGACATGGGATAAGTTGATAATAGGACAACTGACACTTCCAATAAAAATGGGGTGCAGTACTTTTTGCCGACAGCAACCCACTACGAAATGCACCTAGTCAATAATGATATCAAGCTTCACAGGATGAAATGCCAAAAGGGGCTTCCAGTATGCACGGATACATACCACTAGAGAAACAATAGCACCTCCATCACAGTGCAGAGACCACAGACGCCCAAGTTAAGCAAATGTGACCGATCACGTCCTACTCCGGTGTTACCTACAGATCTCACCAATCATGGATCGGGTGGATTTCGGCGGTTGTTGGCAGTACTCAGCGTAGCAAATAACTTGAACAGATCCGTGACAGGAAACTCGACATGGTCCTCCCCCGAGGACCTTCCGATTCCACCGTTGGCATGCCTTTGTGAAAACTGGTAGTCGTAGGCTGCGGTTTTTGATGTTCTAGAAACGGAGAGCACAGATTCAAAATCTGACTGCTTCAGTGGTCTAGGTAGTGGCCTCTGAGCCGTAAAATCCTGTAACTCCACAAAGGACGTGTTAGCCCGAAACAAATGTCAAACGGATGTGTGAACTTCGAACAAAAATGCAAGCTTCGAACATATAAAAGTGAAGCTCGAGTACCTCGCCACTTGAGTAGCCTTGTTGACTCTCATCAGCCAGTAGATCCCGTATTGGCAAGTAGGCTGCTTGCTTGCAGAGTTCGGTCAAGTCAGAGCCACTGTAACCCTCAGACTGGTTTGCCAACTTTTCAATGTCAAGATCGTCTTCAACATGCTCACCCTTGAGGATAACGCGCAATATACTGGCTCGTTGCCTCGCATCTGGCATTGGTACCTCAAACGCTCGCGGTAAACGACGCAAAATAGCTTCATCGAGCTCCCAAGGTCTGTTCGTAGCTGCTAAAACCATAACCCGTGCGTTCTCTACAAAAAAGCATGCATTCTCGCACGTCACAATCGATCGACGACTTAACAAACAGCAAACGGATATAGTAATCATCGAACACAAAAGTCGATAGAACGAATCGCACTTTATTTCACTCTACCCGATTTCGAGACCAATCCTACTAGAGCATAGGTACGGCGGTGAAGCTTCTTGGTTCTAACAGGTATCCCATGATAAAGCCATGCCCCGTCAGTCCAGAGCCAACCCTTGAAGGTCTGAAAGGTCTTTTTACACAACTATATACATGAAAACTGAATACAAATGCTCAACTCGAGCGGAAAGGGCTGTGATGAAGGCATGGTTAGACACTGAGGTGAATGATAGTTGCACAGGGCGAAAAAAATTAAACCTGAAGGCTTTAACGATCAGGCACAGTGCATACCGTTAAACAACGGCCAAAGCAAGGCTTTCACAACGCCATCAGACATGTCTGTAACTACACACTATCAAGCAGCAAAAACAGTTTGTCACAAGGAAAAGCTGAGAGGGAAGGAAAAGTTTGTGGACGTTACCAAAAAGCTTAAGAAAAAAAAATGTGGTTGATACTTTATCTATAGCGAGACTAAATACTAGTACTCAGTACAGGATAAATTCAGGGAAATCAAAGGTCCACATACACGGTAAACAGTGACACAGATGTAAGGCGGCAACTCATCAACAGCACTCAACAAGGGGCGAGTAAGGTCTAGTATATGTCAATTACCGATTCAAACCTCGAACCTGAAACGTGTGATGAAAAATCATGGCGTTATGCTAACACAGGAGATAAGTTAGACAGTAAATGTAATATGAAATGCATGGGGCACGCTAAAAGAGCACCGTGCAGAGAGCAGATAACGGGTAACGCAAGGGACCTTGCACAAGGTGATAGTATGCAGCAAAAGCTGAAATGAAGAATACGAAAACTGGATAAAACTGGAAAAAGTAGGGTAAAAGAAATGAACACAAAGCTTCATAAGATCAATCTTTAGGTGAAGATACAGGGTAAGGCAGAAGATAAGATATTTTAATCAGATTGGCAACATTTATGCTAACAATCAATACATCTTAGAGCAGCTCCCCATGAAATTGCAATAAGATTGACAACTTCCTGGGTGCACCTAATCCGATGATGCGGACAAACGGCAAGAAACTTATGGACTGGTTCACGTAAGGGAAATGTGGGGTAGCCCGCCATCAGTAGGCGTGTGGGAATCAAAGGTAAAAACCATACACCTTCATAGTTGGTGCTTAGTCGATACGGACATGCAAACATCCACGACCTAAGTCTTGAATTGCATCTAAGCAGCTTCTTCGACACAACAGATTTAGTGACAAGAGCGCCCATTGACTTGATTTATTAACTTTACGAACTTAATGGGCCATATAGCAAGAAATACATGTCATTTGTAACACTTCGGGCGTTCAAGCTTCCCTGGATTTAGTACCTGAGAATTCGGAAGAGGAAAACTGTAGACTTAATAAGGTACAGACAGATACCCCCAAATTACACATAAATTAAAGCTTCTTGCAAGTAACTTAGACCCAAGGCTGTACCCAGAGCAGAACTTGATACATCCGTTGTTTCAGTAATACATACACGTCTCCTTGATACATGCATATGGCCTTTCCAGCAGTTGAATTAAAACTCAAGACTACTGATACAGAAAAATCGATCCTGTTCTAAAAATCACGGATAGAAAAGAATTTGATATACAAGTCAATACTGCTCGAGGTAATTCTTGAAAAATTATGAAAGAGGAAAGACGAGGCCACATGCAACCTAAGGAACCAAGAACTCACGATCTGTGGTGAAACCATCCCAGAGGGCCATAAACTCTGTCTTCATGTTCGTTAAAGCTTCATGCTCTGTAACACGACGTTGGCCAAGAAAGCTGTCCACCTCATCTATGAAGATGATTGATGGTTGAAGTTTATATGCCAGAGTGAAAACAGCGGTCACTGCAACAGCAAAACAAAACCTCGACATCAGCAAAACCAGCCGCATTCGTGTAAAATGTCCGAAAGAGAAAAGAAAAAGGAAACATATTACAGGAACATAGTTATGTGCAAAACTTCAGCATGAAGGAAGACCGAGAACAACGACGAAACTCTTGAAATGAACCACGTACCAAGTTTTTGAGCATCTCCAAACCACTTGCTCATCAAAGTTGCGACACGAACATTGATAAACACAGCTTGAGATTCCTTGGCAATGGCTTTAGCAAGTAATGTTTTTCCGGTACCGGGAGGTCCGAACAGCAAAACCCCTTTTTGCGGTCTTAGAAGCTTTCCATGTTGAAACAAGTCTGGACGCTGTAATGGAAGAATCACCAACTCGTGCAATGACTGTTTTACAAGCTCTAAACCTCCAATTGAGTTGAATGTAACGTCGATGTCCTCTGGATTTATTACGTCACAAGCTATCATGTCCTGCAGCAGATGTCTAAGGTAAGAATCAGGGATCCAAAACACAACCTATTTTCCAAAACAAAAATGCAAGGGGGCCATCTGCTCTCCATTCGGAACAAGTCCTGGGAAAGGTAGGAGCACATCCCAAACGATTTCCTTCCAATCATATCAGAAGAATTCACATCTCCTTTGAGTCGTCAAAAAGTATTTTAAATATTCTCTGCGGTGTGACCCTTAAAAAGGTGAACAAAGTGCAGACGACAGACATAGTACCACAACCGTTTCGAGGTTGGTGTAACTGAACAACAGAACAAAAACGCAGTCTCAAAATCTTTCCAAATGCTTCTTGGGAACAGTGACGAGTGCTACGTAGAGCACATGGGAGTTAGCAAAGAGTCATAGAGGTGGCAAATACGAGGTATTACGGTCCCTAAAAATGCTCTAGAGACTGACAAAAAATTCCAGAGGTTTTACGGGAATGCGAACTAAGCTCTGAGTGTCAGGTCCACGTTTTTTTACAGCATGTAAGCGACAATTAGTCAGTAAGAGAGCCAGACCTGGAACCGAACTGGCATAGAACACATAAATTCTACAATTCGATACCCAATGTTCTCGTCAGGACGAAGACCCGCTCCTTGTACGAATTAAATCCAACAGAAGTGCCTCCCGACTTCTCGAAACAACAAGCACAAAGGATGGACGATAACATTTAAGGTCTAAAGAGCCCACATCGACTGATGATACTTTAGAACACCACTAAAAGATGCAGCGACTGTTTAGAATCTTCCGACAATGGTCAATTCTCCGATCGAGGGGGTTGTGTTCGAGACCTAAATCCTGGAGGAGAGACCTCCTGCACAACCTGCAACTTCCTCCTGATAAAAGTGGACCTTTCCTTTCTACCTCGAGGAGGACGACTGGGAGTACTCCCAAGATAGACCACCTGATGAGAATTCGAACAGTCTGATGACTCACTTGCGAAAACTCCTCGGCTTCTCGCGAAATAAGAATTCGTCGAAATTGACCAGAATTTCAAAAGGGAGGGAGAAAGTAGCAAATTACTGTGAGAACGAACACGAGAAGTCGAGACAATTTGACGAATAACTGTAATTATGTGGATATGCACGTGCTTAGAAGCATGGTAAGCTAGAGGAGAGAGAACTTCATACCTCGTAGGTGTTGGTTTGTATATACGGACGACCCAGCCGTCTGGAAATTTCCTTCTTGCGCTCTGATGCCTTTTTCGCCTGAGAGCGATTGGGATCAAGATGACGAAGTCCGACGAAAAGGACCAAACAACTGAGAGCCGCACTCACGGCATACAAAACAAGCTCCTGCCCTACAGAGGCGGCTCGACTACTCGCCCCCATCAAAGATACCTGCCAGGAACCCAATACCAGAAAACTCCACTATACAAGTCCTTCACAATCCACCCTGACGGCACCAACCACTACCTGATCGTCCGAAATTTCTACCACCGCCCAGCAGATTCTCTAGTCTTCTCCTCATGCTCTTCCTCCTCTCATGCCGCCTGCCCGACCACCACCGCAATCACAATTCCGAATCCCTGTTCGCAACAGTCACGAACTTCCCTCGGAGCTCGGCTCCTCCTGCTTCCGTTTCTTCTCCGCTACACGACCTGCATCCTCTGCGTGCCAAGATGGTTGTCCACTTTAACCTTCGCCTCCGCGAGGCTCGTCCTGCCCCCTCCTGGTGCTCGGTCGGTCGACCACCTCGACCTCCACCCTCAGCCACGGCCACGGCGACAACAGTTGTTCTGTTGTCCACCTCGTTATTGGTCTTGTGTCGTCGGGACGATTCCTCTGTCTCCCTCCCTCTCCAGTTTTGCGTGGCCCGCTCTCGTCGATGGCCACCGGCTCACGAGGAAGGCGGAATTGTGCACATCAAGCCCTAAAGCTCGGCTGCCAGAGCCTTTATATTATTAGCGTCGCAACCAGCCCTCTTCCCCTCGAAAGGTCCACCTGGGCGCCCGTTATTCGTCCGAAACTGGTCGCCTTCGAATCCTCCATTGGGGCCTTTGAGGCCTTCTTCCAAACAAAACCGCTCTCTCGCGGCCATTTGGGGCCCATATCCAGTTCTTTCCGGCTTCCGTGTTGCGTCCAGAGCCAGCATCGGCAGGCACTTCTACCGGCTTGCTTTCTTCATATTTCGAGGAGGAAATTCGGCCATCCCATGTTAAAATCATCGGCCATTACAGTACAATGGTGAGGTCCCGGACGGTAAATAATATGTTCCACCCCCCACTGATTCGATCTCTACGAACTCTAGACATGACCTGTCGAGACTGTAGGCGATATAGGATTTCTAATATCTTCTTTTTATTACATTTTTCCTGTTTTCTCGCTACAGAGGGGCAAAGTATAGACAATAAAGGGACCGGAATCTCTAGGATATTTTCCCATTCGAAACTCGAAAATAATATTCAGGCGTCGGAACAAGCTACTGTCGCCTATTGCAGAAACAATACTCTCAAGCGTTGTATGTTCACTATCTATATACGGATAGACAAGTTCTGAAAATATTACAAGCTTTATGTGAAGTAATTGAGAGATTACATATGAGGTAATATATCAAGTATAACTCAAGATGACACATGTGAAAATAACAAGAGTTGAAGTGAATGATAGGCCGTCATCGTATGATCATATTGGATACTCAGACTAAGCACTTTACAATTTTTTATTGTATCGAATACATTGATGATAAGGACACTGATTCTAGATGAAAAAAAATCACAAAATGTCTGTATGAAAACTTTGCAAATCATATAAACATCAAATCACAGTGACTAACGTTTCATGAATTTTGAAAAAACTTAAAAGTTTCATTGTGCCATGCACGAGTTTTACTGATATATATAGAAAGTAATCAAGTATAAGATACAGAAACATGTAAATGACTTATATATAAGTCACACGCAACAGATTTTACAGCTTCTGAGTTTATTTTTTACCTCGCTAATAATATAAACATCGCCTAGTATGATTACCAAGAACTAATATAAATTGACTCAATTAATACAACTTTTATTGCGAATTTAACAAACGAAGTAACAAATCAGTAATAAATCTTAGCCAAAGAAATCCAAGGGCATCTCAAGACTTTGCTACATTTTTTCTATATGTTAAAAGTAAAAAACTTAAGTTCAACTCATGTATTTCCAACTTTTTGCAACATGAGGATTTAGAATTTATGACTCAGTCGTGAAATATTATCATGAAAATTGAAAATGACTATTTGATGCTCAATGTAGATACGCTTTAACAAGTGCTCTTTCATAAAAAGAAGATGAAAATATTTTGATACTTGAAAATAAGGTTTTTTCCTTATATTTATATAAAATAGTAATATATATTTATATGATTATTATTTAAAAAAAATATCATATTAAATTAATGAGAAATACAAACTGATGTGATTGACAATAACACAAAATTTGCAAAATTTTATATTTTTTAATAGTAAGTTAGCACTAAAAGTAACTTACAAAAAGTAAGTAAGTTAATGTGATGTAAGCTTTTACTTCACTTTGCTCATAATATGGATTAAATTAAACAAAAAATATCTGAATAATAATTTCTTAAAATTTCATGAGATCCATTGATCGATATTGTGTATGCTGATAAATTACAAGATATACATCATTCAAATTTTCTTCTAAGAATGGAACAGAGACAATCATGTACTTGCATGTAATCATTCATAGTTTATTTTTCAATTGTGATATTGTATTTGTTGACATTAAAATATGAATGGCAAATATTTTATTTTGACTTTACTCTTATTTTGTGTCATGGTGATACATATAATGAAGATTATAAAAAGTACATCTAAAATTTAACAAGCTTATTTCTATAATAACGTAGATACAAAGTTTCATCTAATACTTCAAGACAGCAAGCACACAAAATAATATACGAGAATCACTTTACTCTACTAAAATTTAGCCTTTTACTATATTTCATTATGATAAAAAATATGTAGCTTTTATACTGTTTAACTTTTCAATATTCAAGAAATCTTCATATGAATTGATGGAATACTGAAGCATTATGGTATAGAATTGAGGTTCGATATATGCTACAAGTTTGTGTTCTTTGGTGTCATACCTGTTTATATTGTTTTAGATGTGGCTTCAATTTTTCCCAAGTCTCGTATGGAATACATCTTGCATAATGTCTCATTGAATTCGTACATTCATGTAAAAATATCCTGAGAAAGATGCACAACGATGATGATTGAACCAATTAGAATCTAGATAAATGAGTGATCTTCACATCAACATCAAGGATTTTGGTAATGACATATATGCAGTTTGATCTGTTCTTGATCATTATGGTTATATTGAATGCTGATCATAGTATGAATCTGGTTAGCTATCTAGTTCAAAACCTGTTATGGGAAATTTATTTTTCTGTTTGACCCAGGCTACTTTGAGATGGTCATCCTAAACAGATTTTTCTTCTCATGACTTAATTTGTTGACTTGTGATAGAAATAAATAAGCACCAGTGTTTGTCTATGCTATTCATGATTTGCTGGATATAAGGAGATGGCTATTCAATTTTAGACATTTTGTGCACAATACTATGCTAAATTTTGGAAGAATATGTTTTGTCCCATAAATTCATTCACAAGATATTTTAATTTTAATCAATCCTCAAAAAAATCGAGATAGATAACAAAAATTATTGAAGATAAACAAGCATTTGATGCTTTGTGTATCACCAGTACTCTCAAATCTAATATCCTCTCTATAACTATATTAATTCATGAAATATATTATAGTCTTGAATTGTGAATCACGTGAGCCATGCTTTGCATATTTTATCGGCATATTATATTTAAATAATTAGAAAGGGTTCATAGGCCTTTTTGAAGTTTATTAAGTACGTATCATGACTTTCGTGATGGAGCCGAGTTGTTTAGAAGATTGGATTAGTTGCATGGGATGAACACCTCTATGTGAGTTTAAGTATACACTAGTTGGCTTCATAACGTAAATAAAAAAACAATTATTATCTGAAAGACGAATAAAATTACCAAAATTATGGCCAAACAGCTAAATTTATTCCATCAATGCAATCAGCGCCACTTTTAACGATTTAAGGACTCCTTCAATTCGGTAAAGCGGCATATCAGGGACAACTCTCTAAGAAAATGAGGCCCAGAATTGCTCAAAGAGGGGTATGGCTTTGTAGATATCGATTTAGGGTCGTGCTATAAGTTCTCAACATTCTGTCGTTTCATTTTATTGATATCATTGTCCCCACCATTTGATACTGCCACAACTGCATTTTCTGAAGAGGTACGGCTGGGCATTAATACGTATTCCGAGTTCCGTCGAAAGTACTTGTAATAAATATTGCATGTGCACTTCTATCTTTTGCATTTTTTATTATTATTTTGCAATAAATTTCCACATATCGCTTTGGCATGCTAAGTTGTGTGTTTCATTCCTGAATAGATCGTTCACCATATCCACAACAGAAAGACGTTTAGCCGCGTATGCTATGTACATAGTTTGGTCCAAGGGCATTCGAAATCAATACTTCAGACGAAGTGTTGCATGTTATTGGAGATCAGCCACATTCTGGAAACTCGATGAAGCAGATGGACGATGCTCCGTGTGAGGAAGCAGATCGTTCTCGTTTCCAGCTGAGAGGCCGTGGGGTACAATTTATTAGAGCGCTGGCCCTCTGGCTTGAAAAAAAAAACCCACCGGAGGGCCATCGTTATCATCAGCCAGGCGGTGAGAGAAAAGCTCGGAGATGTGAGGGCCGTCGTGTGAAAAGGAACGGGTGGAGGGAGGGAGGGAGGAAGGGTAGGCTTGGCCACGGTCTGGTCCGGACTGGCGGTTAACCGGTTGACCGTCGGGACCGGTTAACCGGTCCCAGAGAAAATTCTTCACCTTAATTAATGTAATGTAGTTCATTTCTTGGCCACGATCCGGTCTGGACCGGCCGTTAACCGTTTATCGTCGGTCCCGTTTAACCAGTCCCAAATTTTCTCTGAACCGGTTAACCGTTAACCAGACCGTGGCCAAGCCTGTTGGAGAGGGAGAGGGAGGAAGGGTGCGGGCGGTGGGCGAGGGGTCCTCATCCTGAAAGCGGAGCCTGGGGCGCGCGTAATCTGGGCAGGCGACGGGAGACGGGAGACGGGAGACGAGAGACGAGCTCGGGCCTGGCACCGGCAGCGAATTGCGAGCGGAATGGCGATCGGGTGAGCGCCCCAACTGCGTGCGATGCTGCGCTCCACGGGACGAGCTCTTGAGCGAGACGGAGCCGGACGAGGCCGATTCTGCGAGTGCTTTTGTCGACGGGATTCTTCGCAGCTGCTGCAGGCTTCGTGGTCGTTGTTGGCCTGCTGCTCGCTCGGTGCGTGAGTGCCCTCTCGTGCTCCTCTCCGTTTTTCGTGTGGAGCTCGCTCGCTCGCTCGCTTGCTTTTTGGCAATTTGCATTCTGGGTCGAATTTGCGGAGCCGGTTAGGGCCTTGCGAGCTGAACGCGGGACGCGGTGGGAGGTGCGATTGCCATCCATGGCAATGACGGCGCAAGCTGTTGCGCCCTTGGGTGGAGGATTGGGTTGCCCGAAGGCTGTGGTGTCGTCGGTTTCATGTTCTCAGTCGTGTTCGGTGGGGTTTAATGTGAACCGTCGCGTGAGCTGTAGCCTCATCGCTGCAGACGCTTCGTCTCGCTCTCAGTATCGTGTAGAAACGAGGAAGATTCGGTTTTCGGACACTGAATTGTGCGGGAGGCAACTTGTTTTGTTCAAGCGACGAAGCCCCGTGAGGCTGAGAAATTCCTCACGACTGCAAGTTCGTGCTTCCGCTGTTTTCGACAATCTCAGTACGAGCCTTGAAGCCGTGTGGGCAAAGCTTCGGAACCAAGATGTTCTCACCAAGGACAACATCAAAGAGCCAATGCAGGAAATTCGGCGGGCTCTTCTGGAGGCGGATGTTAGTTTGCCGGTGGTTCGGAAATTCGTCAAATCTGTGACGGAGAAAGCTATCGGCACTGGAGTTATCAAAGGTGTCCGCCCTGATCAACAGCTCGTGAAGGTCGTGAATGACGAGCTGGTTAGCTTGATGGGCGGTACTGCGGCCGGAATCGAGTTCGCCAAAACTGGTCCGACTGTGATTTTGATGGCTGGGCTCCAGGGAGTGGGAAAGACGACAGCTTGCGGTAAGCTGGCTCTGTACTTCAAAAAGAAAGGCAAGAGTGTGATGATGGTGGCCACCGATATCTATAGGCCTGCCGCCATCGATCAGCTGGTCACTCTCGGAGGTCAGGTGGAAGTTCCGGTCTTCGAAGCTGGAACGAACGTCAAGCCTGCAGAGATTGCGAGACGCGGTTTAGCTGAGGCCAAGAAGAAAAATATCGACGTCGTGATCGTGGACACTGCAGGGCGCCTTCAAGTCGACAGAGGAATGATGGACGAGCTGAAACAAGTGAAGAGCGCTGTGAACCCAACCGAAGTGCTGTTGGTAGTGGATGCCATGACAGGACAGGAAGCAGCGGCGTTGGTTGCTGCATTCAATTTGGATTTGGGCATCACCGGGGCCATCCTCACGAAGTTGGATGGAGACTCGAGAGGTGGAGCTGCCTTGAGTGTGAAAGAGGTATCAGGAAGGCCCATAAAATTTGTCGGTGAGGGCGAGAGCATGGCCGCACTGGAGCCCTTCTATCCCGATAGACTGGCGAGCCGGATTTTGGGCATGGGAGACGTGCTGTCATTCGTTGAAAAAGCTCAGGAAGTTATGGTGCAAGAAGAGGCCGAGGAAATGCAGAAAAGGATCATGGAAGCGAAGTTCGACTTCAATGATTTCCTGAAGCAAACGCGAAATCTCGCTCGAATGGGCTCCATGGGTGGCCTCATGAAACTGATTCCGGGAATGAACAAGATTTCTCCTCAGCAAATCGCTGACGCCGAGAAGAGTTTGAAAGTGATGGAATCCATGATCAACTCCATGACACCTAAGGAAAGGGGAGACCCCGAGCTCTTGGCGAAATCTCCGGGAAGAAGGCGAAGAGTTGCAACGGGTTCAGGAAGATCGCAAGAACAAGTGAGTCAACTTGTTTCGCAGCTATTTCAAATGCGAGCTCGCATGAAGAATCTTTCAGCCATGATGCAAGGAGGCTCGATCCCCGGGCTTGGTGCATTGGAGGAGCAGCTTCAAGGGCGGAAGGCTCCCCCTGGCACTGCCAAGAGGAGGAAGCCTAAAGTCGGATTACAAGTATCGTCTACAAGAAGCGCTGCGAAGGGCTTTGGAAGCAAATAGCTCAGTGTGTAGATTGTACATCATTCCAGAAATCATTGTAGACATGTGAGTACGAATAAGCTGAGAATATATTCCGTTCTGCGGAATTGGAGTTTTCCCGTCGGTCGTAAAATGTAAAATTTTTCAATGTAATTCGTCTATTTTCCTTCATTCGATTCCAAAGGCGGGGAAATTTCTACACTGGAGCATTGTATAATTGAGTTCCCGTTATCACTTTTCATCGGATGACATTTTCTTGATTTGTTCGAAGTGGAGTACTAAGTTCAATCTCCGGGAGAGATGTAAATCATGCTTGTACGGAGTTTATGCATGATTCGAATATTACCCCGTTTCATCGACAAATTTATAGAGCTTAAGTGACATTATCAAGAGTTTTATTTGCACCAAGTCACAATTTGGACATGGACGTTTCATTCATATTGTTTCATGTCGTGTTGGCAAATAATGATTTGAGTGGCTGTTCATGGTCATTGACACGACCGTCCATGAGCTACAGGATCATGCCATGGAACCTTTTTTTGAAGTGTTGACCCGGTTGGGATTCAAGACCAACTCAATACGCTTTCGATCAGTGTGTGGGAGAAAGATCGTTTGTAGTGAGGATATGTTGTGTATTGAGGCCGTCAGAAAACATTAGCGAGTCAACCTCCGCACACGGATTAATGTGGAGACAAGATAATCAAAGTACAAGTTACTTGTCCATTCTCTCATAAAAAAATATCCACTTGCTTGATTCAAAGTTCTCATGACACTTGACTCCATCATGTGTCCGACCCATTACAATTCATTTAACAGAAGCAACCAACAACTTCTCAAATATGACAAACTTTTAAATAAAGTTTTACACAAGTCCCAGGCCAAATCAATCGAACTCATTTCATACATTAACAGAGGCAGCACCGCTGCGATGGCGCCGGACAACAGATTTAGGTTACTCCATACAACCTTACGGGGGAAAAAAGATCTCGTCACTTAGTGAACCAGAGAAATCCCTACCCCACACAACTTCAAACCCTGACTGCGAAGCAGAGAGTTCAAGTGAAGTTGAAGGCATATTTACAGAATTCATTTACTGTCCCCTGATGCCTCAACTTCGGACTTCCAAACAATGTCCTTCAGACCAAGGGATAGGTTCTTGTAAAACTGCCACGGGAAATAACAAGAGTCGTAGAATTAGAAAACACTCCAGGGCCAACAAGAGGATGCATAAACCGCGGTTTGTACAGTACTTGCAACAGAGCTCCAAAGTGCCCACTTGTGAGTAATTAGTACTTAATTGGTCGAAACACGGCATACACACCACACTCACAAAACGAACATACTAACAAAACTTGATCCAAATCGATAATTCCCAATGACTTAAAAGAAGGACAACACATGATGTAATACAACGATCTGTATGATGCGTCAAGTCAAATTTTCCGTCCTCAACAGGGAAGGAAAGACAAACACATGAGAGTGAAGATCTAGCAACGAATAAACACCGACCCCCGTACATCAGTCGAACAAAATAAAAAAGTTTAGTTTTTCGAAAGTTTCTTACCTTGTGGTATTCCAATGTGTCTCCCCCAGCCTTCCGAAGCTCTACCATGAAAAGAGAGGGCGCTACCTCAAACACCTATGATTGCCACATTCACAAGAACACTTGCGTCGGTTCAATCCATGTAGAAAAGTACAGAAAATTGAACAAGTAGCTCAACGGAGTGCTATGCCGAGGTACAACAAAGACCTTGGATACACGGACAACATACAATACAGCGTTCAGTACATACTGTTTGAGTTATTTGGGGTTCTGCGTGTCATCACCTTCGTTACGAACTTCTCGCAGACATACAAATCAAGAACCTGCTACAAGACTACCTAGACCATAAGAGACTTGAAACCCTTTCATCGCTTCGCATGAATAACATCAGGAAATATAGCAGCAAATCACTTAAGATATTACCTCTGTGGCGACAGAAAGATGCCCTTTCCTGCCCTGCTTGTCTCCCTGTAGCTTCATCTGATTGTCAAAAGAAAGACATTAGCTTTCTTGTGCGATACTCTTCCTTGATATTTTTTTCTTAGCGGATTGAAGGACTTTGTGACCGCAAATGTTCCAACTCACAAAATTTAACATAATCTCACACCATGTGCCAAACGTTGAAACATGCAAGGAATATGTCCCCCCTACTTCACCTGGGACTAAATGACGAGATTGAAGGCTCAAAAATACTTCAAATGTACTAAGAGAATAGGTCCCAAAGGTCTAGAACTCACAACACTTTATCGTTGGAGTTACTGTCAAGTACCTTGTAATTACGCTTTTGGACATTGAAACCGAGAGGCTTTGCAGCTTCCTCAATTTTGGTGACAATCTCGTTCGCAGGGTGTTTAGAGGTGAATCTAGTTTCCCGCTTGACCATATCCTGGAGAGTGAAGATAGATGATGGTCACTTTCACAGTCACACTAGAAAGTCGAACACATGATAGGCCCGTTTCGAAAGGAAATACCACAGTTGCCGTCTATGACAATGCCAGTTGTTTCCTTCCTCCTTTTCCTATCTAGAGGAAAATGACATGATGTTGATTTCACAAATATTGTGACACAAACCGAGCTTTCGGACGGCGGGGTTTGGGTTTGACCATTCGGTATATATTTTTATTTAAAGTTGAAAGCCAACCACAGGCCTCAGTGGGAACTAACCAATAAACTGGATTCACCTCCCTCACCAAATAATTGCATCTATTCCTTCGATACAATTATTTGCATTGCAACATATATTTGAAGTCACGATGAATAAAATTTAGTTGGACCTGTAACTGCTGGACAATGAAAGTAGTAAAACTGTTGGAGCATTTTCTAAGATGATATCACTCGAATGGCCTAAAGAGAAAAGCCCGTAGAAGAAAAGAGATGAACGACAAACTTCCATGATTCCCATCCTGGACCAAAAGAAAAACAGTGGTAAAGCGGAGGCTCACTGGTTGTTCTTCAAATAGTCCTGAAAGATTGAGACCTCGAGACAAGGAGATCAGCTCAAAAGCGTTCATGACAATCGGTTTTGTCTCCTTCTTTTCTTGGACCAAGTGCTCCTGTTACAGACGCCAAGTTTAACGTTTAAGATCATGCAAAACAGCAAGACAGGCTTCTCATATAACATTGTGAGGTGCTCTTTTAGTATCCAACACCCGCCTCTTCTCACTTCTAACTAACGCACCATTGACTCATTGAAGACCGCATCGACATCGGCCAGATCAGCACTGTCCTCTTCTTTGAACTTTGCACGCTGGTAGCCTTTCTTGAACCAATCGTTCTCTAGTATTTGAGGAACAGTAATCCGCTGCAAGAGAGTGCGTGCACAAATTAAAACAAAGGGCGAATAATGAGACAAAAAAAGTTTAGGAAAATGCCTGCACCTAGGCAGTGATTTATATAATATTCATGCCTTTCACCAGCGCTAGCGTGAAAGAGAAGAATACTCACTTTCAACTCATTTCAACCAACAGGAAGAATCTCTCATTTCCGGCAGTTTAATAGCAGTTCCTCGAAAAAAAACTGCAAAGAGCATTACTCACGGTTCTGGGATTGGGTTCAAGTATTCTCAAGATCAACTTCCGTGCTCCGGAGGAGAACCAGGAAGGACATGTGAAATCAGCTCGATAGATCTGCAAATTCCACCGTATCACGACGCAATACTTGAATTATTAAAACAAGGTGGGTACCCAACCAACACAAGCGACAGAGGAAACAAGGCCAATATGAGTACATAAGAAAATAGGATCCCAAGAAAATAGTATGATCAGACGCATATCGATACAGCCAGTCTAGTTATAACAGAGCCTGGACACTGCTTGTCCGACACTGTATTCAGGTGAGAGGATACTCAGCAACGCTTGGCTAATGCCGTCCATGTCTCAGACTTACCTTTTTGTACAAAGTCATGAGATTGGACTCATCAAAGGGTAAGTAACCTGCCATCAAGACGTAAAGGATTACTCCGCAGGACCACAAATCAGCAGTTGCTCCTTTGTAACCTTTATCGTTGATAACCTGAATCACCATACATAATCGTTTCATTGATAGACGTTTGTATCAATCCATGAAAGCTAGATTCCAGCCCAAACGGCACACCAATCAACGTCCACAAGCAACTGCACTGCTTTAGCATCGAGTGACAAACCGGGTGGTACGATCACTAGAGAAACTACAGTTCTACGAAAAAGGAGAACATACTAACACTGATCATTAACATCGAATTAGTTCTAAACAAATACATGTAACAACTCAACACGGCACGAGACCAGCTCAGTATATCATACAACCAAAGTTCAACTTGACATGCAATACGAGTATAGTGCATTTCAGCAAAATTCAAAAGTAAAACAAGTCTCCAATTTAGAAGCAATCCTAAAAGCATGGGCGGAACCCCGCTGGAGAGTTTAACATCCATCGGGGGACACTACAAGTCAGATCCTCCGCCTTTGCATAAATGGCCATACCTCTGGCGCGACATAGTTAGGGGTACCACATGTGGTATGCAGTAATCCATCCTCCTGCAAACAAGCAGTTTCCATCAGTTGCCAATCTAGCTTTGTACGTTACGAAGTCTTTGACTTATCTTAAATCAAGTCTGCTAATTACTGCAAAGACGCCCATATCGATTTCCTCCTAGACATACAAATTTATAAGAACTACTTCAGCTCAACGTGGCGTGAAGACCAAAGACCCCCCGCCATAGCTGGTCAATACTAGTGAACAAGGGCGAAGAAGAGGAATAGTGAGAAAGAAGAGGAAATAGTGAGATGACTACTTTAGGGTGATGAGGCTTCGTCTTCAGAGGGATATGTCATCATAGATGAGGTTAATTCGAGATTGTCAGCCAGAAGTTTCATGTATAGATCATACACTTGAAAGCAGAAGCAAAACAACCAAATCACTAGATCAGAACTTTCCAATATATGAGTGAAACAGAAAGATAAGAATGGACTTACTCTATATTGCTGTGGCAGTGCGCTCAGTCCAAAGTCGGAGATTTTAAGATTCCCATGTGAATCAAGAAGCAAGTTTTCTGGCTGCACACAGAAAGCACATTCGCGTCATTGTATATTGTTGTCAAGCTGCCTTGAAGCAAAAGCAACTGTTCAACCGTCGTCGATGAGGACGCTTTTCGCAGCAAACTATCCTGACAATCGGCTAAAGCGACAACTAGCGATTACCATGATTGTGGATAATTGCTCAAGATTCTCTATATATGTCCAGACTGCAAGCTCATGATTTACCTTAAGGTCTCTATGGTACACACCACGGCTGTGGCAGTAATCAACAGCATTTATTAATTGTTGAAAATACTTTCTTGCTTCATCCTCCTTCAACCGACCTTGATGAACCTGAAATATATGATGCACTCTTCAACTGGATGCCAATACGTTTGCAAAACAGAAAAAAATGGCCCCAATCAAAAAGCCTACATACGGTTGACTAAAGAAGAAAAAGTCTGCTGCTTGCAGAATCCGAAGTCACAAAAAGAACTAAATTTGGTTCAACATTTAAGGAAAACTTACAATCTTATCGAATAGCTCACCACCTGTGACAAATTCGAGAACAATGTAGATTTTTGTCTTACTTGCCAAGACCTGGGAGAACATCATACATGTTAGACGACAGGAGACGCGATAACAATTCTACCCCACGTAACAAACAGCCTTTTCGCGTTTCTACTTGTACTAAGCACTCGGAACTGTATACAAAAATTCCTGCCTTGAGCTGGTTTATCTCACAGATCAGCATCATTACGAAATCGTCTGAATTGCCTTCTCTACCTAGACTAAAAAGCTTCAAGACTGGAAACAACTGATCCCATTAATGCTTCTGTGAAGATTGGTTATAGACTATGATACACTTCAAAAATGAAAATATAAGTTTTTTCCCTTTCATAGATGTGTTGCAGTCCTCACCTCCAGCAGTTGTACTATGTTTGGATGCTTCACCAGTTTCATCGTTGATATTTCCCGTTTTATCTGAACATCGCAGATTTGCACATAAGGTCACGCACGAAGGATATGTACTTCACTGCTTACCATGTTTTATTGCATGCGTCAGAGTGAGCACTTTACAGTTGAAGGAACAGATATCACGCTATAAAAATAAAAATTTTAGGAAAACGACTTCCATGTTCAAGGACAACGGGTTCGTAAAGATTGGCCAAACTGTGAAGAAAGTAATCGATGATAGGCACTTCAACAACGAAGTAAAGATGACTACAGAAAAAGTGATATATACATGTAATTCAGAAACTACAAACCCAACTTGACCTACTGCAACAACGACCAGACCGTCCTAGTCCGACACGAAGAGGCCGCCGTCAAAGCGCCACAATGACTTCAAGACCGTTCGTAGACATGATACTTATTACTTTTCTTAAAAGGTGTGCAATGATGCCATTTTGCAGCATAAGTAAGATCGATAAATATACAGTTGTAAATATACGAGTACGGAAACATTTGGGAAAGCACGTGATCAGCAACAACACGCAAGTAGACCAAAATGTTCAGACCTAAGCGTTACAACCGAAACCAAAAACACGGGAACAATAAGAAATGTTAGTAGACTAGTGAAAGTGTAGTTAAAGAGTCGGCCAATCCAGATAAAGTTGAATTTCAAAGAGACAGAGACCATTGACTAATGAACAAAAATTTCACGGTTTGGAATTTAACATCAAAAAGGTGTGTAGAGCTACAAAAATTACTACCATAGATGTAAATATCCTCCAACGGCATTCAAACACTGGACAAAGAGGACAAGGAGTCCTATATATTTCCAGGCGCAAGCGACAACAGGGGAACCAGATGGCGCTAAACATGGTCTCGGCACTTGTGGAGACTCGAATCTAAGACGCAACCAGCTAATTATAATCCTCCCAGGTAATAGTCACCGTGAGAATTACAACTCACCAACCATACATCAGAAAGCACAAAACAGCGATTCGCGGTCTCCAGGATCACAGGCAAATTTGACAATGAAGGTGGAACGCAATTACAGACCCATATCCACATGAAAGAACTGGGAGTGTACAAAAGAGGGTCATCCAGCAAGTTGTACGAGTTTTGAAACTATAATAGAAGGACAACACTTTTGGAAAAAACAAGCTCTCAATGGTAAGGTTCTGAACTATTATCGGCAACAAAAGAAGCTGCTAGAAGATTTATTCAGAAAACTTTGTCCGGTTGGGCCAAATTGGGCTTCTCTAACGATAAAGTACGTTAAAGTCAGTATATCAGTATCCAACATCAGCGCGAAGACACACTGTAGAAATTGAGATCACGGGGCAGGAAGCAAGCAGACCCAACCGAAGTTAGTGATGAGAGAACATTCGGGAGAGGAAAAGATGCTGAAAAAAGTACCTGCTCCACCATCTTATGCTTCAAAATTTTCTCCTTGTCAAGAACTTTAATGGCTACGCTTTCCCCCGTCTCCGTATTCTTGGCAAAATTAACCTTCGCAAACGTACCCTCCCCAAGAGTGCGACCCAGCTCATATTTGCCCACTTTTATCTTTGTAGTCGCGAAACTCATCTCGTTGTGCTTTTATGACCCCGCGCTTGATGATTTACAGGTCAACCATAATGTTCTGAATTGTACAGTAGATCTTCAACAGTGAAAGACCGAAGAATCGCTGATTGTCGGCCAAAGAGCTGTTATTGCTCCAACGACTGAGGAATTCGAGCTCAATTCCCCTCCAAAATCTCCGTATGACTCCTCAGTGGTTACGGTAAGGGTCTTGAACGCCAACGACTAGGATGCTTATTCACTAGAGTCAGGTAAGGAGAGAGCATAAACATGTGGCGACTAAACAAGTCCGCGATGGAGGGAAGAGGAACAAACAAATCTTCTCGCAAATCCTAGATCAGCACGATAAGATCCAGCTCGGGGATTTTCGACTGATCACCGAGTATCCAACAGGTCATAAGACCGGGACAAGAACGGAGATCGGCAGGTCAACCTGTCCGAAGGCGTGCAGACGTCCGTTCCTTCACATAAAGCCTTGACGGGTGTGCTGGTGCGGACGCTAAGAGTCCTGTGCGCAGCTCTCAACACCGCAGAACTTACGTGGATAGGATTCACACTACGTAGATGCTTGAAATCAGTTGAGCCCTACAGCTGATGCGAGCACCTGGAAAAACTAAGCCAGATTCCGAAATCCTCAAATCTAAAGGCGAAGCCAAGGAATAGCACTCCCAAAGTTGCGTTTCAAGCAATTCCCTCCTCCTGCGTCCTCATTCCATCGACGTGCTCTTCTTCGTGGCAGCAAGATCAACCAGCACCCACCCTCCGGCACCGCCTTTCCTTCCTCGTTTCTTCCGCAGACGGTACAAACTCGTGATGCATCCAGATGGAAAGGGAAACGTCTTCTTCGTTTACAGCAACTACGACACCTGAATCAGCACAGATGACCTACGCGACGAGACGGGGTCGGCAAGTCGAAAGCTTCAGGGAAGACACCGAGGCAAGGAGGCACGGGAGGCAGGCAGGCAGGAAGGCAGGAGCGATTGATGATGCGCACACGAGAAGCGCCAGAAGAGGAGGCAAGATTGGACAAGACGGAGGAGGAAGAAAGAAAGATGGCAGAAAGGAGAGCTATATATCAAGGCAGCAAGGGGCCGATGAAAAGGAAGGAGGCAAGAAAGGAGGAGAAATAGGGTGAAGAGCACAACCAAGGATGCGTTCGAGAACTCCAGAGGGTAGGGGACACGAGCAGAGACACAGAAAGACAGACGGAGACAGACACAGATAGAAATCAAAGAGGGCAACACACAGCCTGCGGCTGATTATAGGAGAGCCAGACAGACAAACGAGAGCACACTTCTACAGACACCGCTTGATCAAATTCTCCTCCGCTCACCTGACTTCCTCCCTCCCTCTCTTTCCCTTCCCTTCCCTTCTACTTCACTTCGCTTCACTTCACTTCACTTCGCCTCACCTCACTTCCGTCTATCTGGCGCAGGCAGGCAGGCAGGAGGCAGGCAGGCAGGCAAGCAGGCAGAGAAGAGACAGGGTGATGACTTGAAGAAGAACAACAACAACACAACTCTCCCTCGAACATTCAAGTATGATGAAGCATACCACCCCACCCCTCCCCTCCCCTCCCCGTCCCCTCCCCTGCCCTCTCTGCCTCCCTGCCCCGGGTCCCGTCCCTCTTGCTTATTTCCTTCCTTGCGGTATTCTCTTCTCCCGGCTCTCCTCTCCTCTCCTCACCGCTTTCCTTTCCTTTCCTTTCCTTTCCTTTCCTTTCCTTCCCTTCCCTTTCCTTTCCTTCCCTTCCCTTCCCTTCCCTTCCCTTCCTTAAGGACTTAAGGGCCTTCCGAGTCGCCCTGTGCTATTGTTTCCTTCCGTGCTCGCCCTTGCTCCCGGAGGGCGAGGGACTTTTGGCTGCCCGGCTGCCTGCCCTGGCCTGCTCGCCTTGCCTGGACCGGCCCTGCCTGGGGCCCTGCCTGGCTCGTCTGTCCGCGAAAGTTCGCCTTATCGGGGCCCAAAAGTGCTCCAAATGTCCCCCGCGACGACAACGACGACAGCGACGACGTACGTACGCAAGCCTGCGTACAGGGCCGCGGCGCTTGCACCTTCCATCACTCCACTGTACTGTGGCCGGTCAGCCGCTGCACCCCAAGTGTCACCCATTTCCGAGCTCCTCCCGATATTATCTCATTATTTCTTTCTTTTCTTTTCCTTTTTTGTATCTCATCCATGCGCCGAATATTTTATGCTCCTCTCGCCTTATTATAACTCGGCCCCGAGTTCTTCCATGCAAAGCACTCGGTTCTTTTGCTTTCCCGTGACCCCATTTGTCGTACGAATCAGCCGCAGATCAGGATCTTCACCCGAATGTCCACCGACGATCCGCTCACCTCCCGACGGCGACTCGCCCCTCGGACCGACGGCCTCTCGACGGTGCACCGGATGCAGATTTTCCCTGTTCCTCCTCTGCCTGCAGACCTTCGGTCGCCACCGCACCCCCGCGCGCCTCCCGGGCCTCCGCTCCGCGCGGCCCGCGCTTTCGTATTATTTTCCCCCGAGTTCCGAGTCCAGACTGCGGTGCGCGGGTGGGAATCCGAGTATTCCCGTATTCCTATTTCGCATCATCGCGCTAGCAGACGTCAGACGAGGTGTCATTCCTGTTAAGCGAGGCCTTAACTGTGCTGCTAAGTGCGTGGCCCGGAAGAAAAAACCCGATCCACCTACCCGAGTCTGTGTGAAATAGGACTTTTGACAGCTCATCTCTGCTGAGTTTTTCTTGTTCCTTCTTGAATCTACCCTCAACATTCTGGTTTTGACTCCTCCCGGATGGTCATTGCCATTTATTATTCAGCCTGTGATGTACTTGAGTTCATAATCTTATGGGACAGAACATGACGAGATCCCTACAGACTTTTCCGCAAAAAGTTATCTCTGAAGCATTTTCCTGTTTGTCATTTGTGAATACAAGTTACTCACGCACAGAACGAATTCTGAATCAAATGATATACTCTTAGTTTTTGAGCTATCCACGTATTTATACATCAGTATGTAGGTTATTAAAAGAACTTTCTTGATTGTAGTTTGAGATGCATTTTTATCCTTTCCGACTCAGCCATCTTTATTCAGTTCAGTACATCCAGTGGACATTTTTGATACAACGCTTGAGCGTTCTCATATTTATATACTCAAATGTTATCACAACTTCAATAATAAGGTCATATATTTGCATCCTCTTGGTAATCACGCTAAAATTCGAAGGTTAAATTCAAATAGTTCATCAGTTTGTTTTTTAAATTTAATTTATTGTAATCATTAATATCACATCAGCAGAACAAAGATATAATCCCATGCAGAATACATGTATATGTGCATATAGATTTAAAACATTCAAGTTGATGAAAATTAATATAAAATTTCTACCGTTTGAACCATATGGTCCTGGATAATGACACAAAACCTGGACTTACAACAGAATTTATTCGCTATAAACCAACACGTCAATTAAGCTATAGCTCAATGAAATTGTATTACATTGTAGAATGAATCTTCTTCCACAAAGTTAGATTGTACTGCAGGTTTTTAAAATTGCAAATAAATTATTTTTTATATAGGATATTATGCGCTATGATGTCTGCAATCACTCTACTGCAACAGATCTCATGGATATTTTCATGTAATACTTCTAATCCAAGAACAAAGTTCCAATTATACATTAGATTGAAGTTTGTATGATTGAATTTGCAAAATGTGATAACTATAAATCACAATTGATGTGATAATTGAAAGAATAACAATGAAGTTTTGGTATTATGTAAAAAAATTAAATTGAATTGAATTTTTTTGGTTTTGAGTTAGCATTCAATTTTCCATTTTTTTCATGATATTTTCATTCTAAACATTCAAGTTAACATGTTATGAGTTACAAGTTTTTATTTATTCAAAGCGTGATTGATTTTAAATTATGTATGTGCTCAATGTGTTTTATATCTATATTGATATTCAGAATACAAAGCACACTATGTAACAAACAATGAATTGGTAACATTTTTATATTCAAGCCAAATTATAAATCCAATCAGTGTATAACAAAATGTCCAACATTTAAAGTGATGTTTGGAGTTGGTATGATTTATGCAATTTGTTTTTACTAATTTTTTATACCTATATTTAAATACTTCTTCTGTATATTTCAATTAATTTGAATCTAACCACAAAAATTTCAATTTTGTGAGGTCAAAAAATTAGCACAATGTCATTTCTTATGAACTTAAAATCACTAAGTTGATAATTTTTTGATATCAAATATAATCATTAAGCTACTTTATACGTGGTTCTGTTTTATTTCGTAATTATACTTTTGAAATATATAGATAAAAATTTAGATTATGTCATTGATCTAAAAACTCATTGATCAAATGTTATATATATACATATATTGAACGTTGTATATTGTATATCCAACTTTTGTTAAAACATTTTTGATCATTCAAAGTCAATTATATAAATGTGAAGATAAGAATTTAAAATTTGCTAACATGTTTTTAAAAATTTTATGTTTTTTAATAGGTTGAATATATTTTAATTTATCATTTTTTATAGTTATTGATTTTTATATTCCAAAATTTAAATTGAAAATAGAATTAAATCATATATATGATTACATATATAATATACATATTTTAAATGAATAAAATATTAACATGGTTTCACCTGTATTCAAATATACAAGTTTTAAATAATAATGTTTATATGATATAAAAAAATATACCATGATACAATATTGAAGCATTTTATTCAATTTTGAAAATTTTATATTAACATTTCAATGGTCCAATCTATACCATGCTCATCTTTCAATTAGTTTAAATATGTGTATATATATATACATACATACATATAGAGAGAGAGTAAGGGGCTAATTATTCCTCACTTAGGGCTAATTAGTACTCACCCTACTATAAGTTCGTCTTTGATTGGATGAACACCGTATTTTGGAAGTAGTTGCTACTCATACGCGAACCCTATAACTCTGTATGGAGCAGTGAGTTATCTATATATAGTAGAATGAAGGCTGATTAACCCTAAATGAGGGAGAACTAACCGCTACCTATATATGCACGCACAATTTGTTAAAAATATAAATAACATAATTTTTTCATAGATTCAACATTTAATTTAATGTAACAAAACATAAATTTGTATTTATGTATTCAAAGATTTAAAAAAATTTAAAATTAAAGTTTTTTATTTTTGAATTAAATTGATTATTCGTTTAGCTTTTAATAATGATAAAATTCTAATATTATCTATTGAATACGCAACTTTTATGTCATTTGTCTTTGTATCTATATTTTTAGTATCGACATAAAATTAGGTGTATAAGTGTATAGAATCGGAGAAACTCAAAGAATTGTTAGTTCTTCGGGTCGAACATACCGCGTAGACAATTTTAGGTTTCTGCTAGCTTCGACTTTAGGTCTCCAATAGAGTGAGTTTGACTCAATTGGATGTGGACTTTTGTGTTACCAGTGGAGTTGACACGTCTTAATTCACTCAAAGAACTCAATTATTTTATTGTTTTGGAGAATTGATAACTTTGTCTGGAGTGCTTTTGCTGTTTGTCAATTTCTTTCGATATACAATGGTAGCAGTGACGCTTTGAGTTCTACATTTCCAAGTTGGAAATTGTGGTTGTTATATATACGATGTTTGAACGCTTTTTCAAAGGGATTGATTGTTCAAAGATTCTAAAATGACTTTGAAATTACAGCTGTTAAAAGTTTTGGTAAAAATTTAATGTTTCTCAAATATCATAATAGGTAATTTTGTCCCTTACTTGGAGTTTGGAGTTACATTGGTACTCACATGCTGATTGCGCGTCAGTGAATCATAGCTCTTGGACGCTTGTTTAAATCCATGTGTCAAGTGGCAAATCAGTGTACATACTTTTTGAGAGTTGAATTGATCATCACTTGCCTCAAAAAAGAAAATAAAAGTTGAAATCCTTTGGATTTTAAGTATTAGTTCTGAGATCTCGTTCTCAACAATTTTCTTGCAACAATGTGTGGAATCAGAGGAAGTGCATGTTATTTGGCCAAGAAGGTATATGACTAGAGGTATGATGCAAATGTGAAGGCCATCGTCATGAATCTCATACAAGTTTAGAGATGAAGTGCAAGAAATTGATAAATTTTCAGGTTGTCGATGCTCTAAACTTGCCACTTTTGAACGGAGGAGTTTGATTTGGTCTTGTCAATGCAGTGGACAGTTGTGCTAATGCTTTCGCCATCTAGGATTAAAAAAGTATGACTCATCGACATCCACATGGATAAGTAAAGCTTCTTCAACATAAAGAGACAAGAAAGATTCGTCCGCTTATGCGTCACAGCTGGACTCTTACAATATGCGTCAATCATTTGATTATCCTTGCTATCGTTCTCCAAGAGCATGTTGGCAACGACAAGTCTTAGGTATGGCACGACTCCGATTATTTTGATGGAGAGTTGAAGGAAAAACTTTTCTGCAAAAGGCTGAGCAACACTGACAGTGCACGTAAATTCAAGTCCCCATTTGAAGAA